CACCAAAAGCTGCACCACTCTTTTATTATATGCGCAAATTCATATGTATGTAAGTTACATTGGTGACGAATGTGATGTAGCTCTGTTTGCATTTCCTTGTGTCATCATTAAAGTCATAGGGACGCCAGCACAGTGTTGGATAGTGTAAACATTATAATTTTGAAATAAATAGTTTAATATGTAATATATTGTACTATATATTATATACTAAACATGTAATTTTTTTTCTGAATTACCTTTTATACACTATCCAAACGACCCATTTGATTAAAAGTTAATGAAAATAGGAGACCATTTAGATCAACCCCAAATTTTATGAACAAAAGACAAGCCTAGCTTACCACCTGGGCAGATTTTATAGTGCATAAAAAGAAGAGAACTTACTAAAGATGGGTTGCAAGCATCTGTTAAAATCACCAAAAAAGGTCCTCGAAATAGACAAAAGTTATCCCGGTTTATTTGCTTCTGCAAGGTCTATTTTTAACATTAGAAATAGCACAATAACCGATACAAATCTAAGTCTGATAATGATTCTTTATCAATTAATAATTCATGATAAAAGCACATTGAATCCCCCTGCTTGGGAATGATTATGGCATGATTTGTCGAGTTAGGTCACGATGTATAACGATAAACGAAAACACGCAATACTGAAATGTTTACAGAAAAATCTACTTACATTTATCTATATCAATAAAGTATGATTTCTCCCGATCATATGCAAATGATATCCACTTCGATAGAGTAATTTGTTAAAACGCGAAATATTTGCAGACTAATAAAGCTATGGGACATACCTGTCATTTACTTTGGAGTATCTAAGGGAGATAATAACTCTAATGAACCTAAAGATCAAATATTATATTTTTCCATACGCAGTGATCTCCCCTTATCAGACAATCTGCACTGTCAGGAGTTTGACATTTTTTTTAATACACAATAAAAATATCCCAAACACACAAATATTAAATATCTGATTCAAGACTTCTGTAAAGTGGACTAAAATAATACATCTGTCTTCAATAAAAAACAAGAAATGTCGAACGACACATATGCCCGCCCCTCTCCCCCTTGACTCACATTATTGGTAATTTTGTTATAGAAACTTGCCATGAATGGGTACATGGAAATTTTTCTAAATTTTGGGGAAAAAAAAGTAAAAAATGAAGGCTTTTGAAAAAAATAAAAATTTTTTAAAAAATAAAGAGGGGAAACCCCTACATAAAAATTCCCAAAAACCTGTGACCCTTTCCTAATTTACCCCAAAAAACAATTTGGGCCTTGGGGGGCAATTTTTTAGTTAAAAACCCAAAAACAGGGATTTTGAAAAATGAAGAATTTGTGATTTACAAAGTTTTTAGTTTTTAAAAATAAAAAAGCGGGAAAACCAAATTTTGGGCAAATTTTAAAACCAACCCTTTTACCTTTACCCTTTGGGAAATAGTGAAACCCAAAAACAATATTTTATCTCCGGTTTTTGACCAAAAACACTATTGAAATATGCAACCCCTTTTTGATAAATTTTCTTTTAAGAAAAAATGAGCTGAAATCATACTAATTTTTCAACGACCCTGTGACCTTGACCCTTTGAGCCTCAGTGACCCGAAAATCAATAAGTATGTGAAATATGAAGACTTTTTGTGATGAATAATCTTCAATTAATTTTAGCAGAGAAGAAACCATTCTGACATTTTAGGGCCCCTGTGACCTTTTTGACCTAACTAAACCCAAAATCAGTAGGGTCATCTACTAAGTAATGACCAATCACTATGTGAGATATCTTTGAAGATTTTATGCATGAAATACTGAAGTGCTGCCGGTGAAGCCCCACAGAATATTCATGTTACAAAAAGAAGAGATGATAAAACGTTCAAACAGACATATGACAGATCAAATGTAAACAAAAGCTTATTAAAACTAGAACTCCGCGTGTCGGATGTGTCGCCTTGTGAACAATATAGTTTAGGAGAATTGGCCAGGACAAAAATGTAATACGAAACTAACAAAGGGCAATAACTCAAAAAAAAAAATAAATGCAGAGCGGGCAGTTTCTGTTCACTGCACTTTTTATCGATAAGATCTATCATTCTATGAAAATGTTTCAAGTCCTATATCTTTTTTATAATTTATGAGAAAATGGTCTGGACAAAAAATAAAGTATGAAAATATATAAAGGGTAAAAACTCAAAAATAAGAAATGCAGTTTACCTGTCCTTGTACCACTGCCCCCCCAATTGTTTTTCTAATGAGATCTATTTTTCATCCTATGAAGTTCAATGTGTATAGCTTTCATACTTGACGAAAAAATGACCTGGACAAAAATTAAGTATGAAAATTAACAAAGGGCAATAACTCAAAAATAAAGAAATGCAGAGTACTGGTTCTTCGGCACTGTTCTTCTTCTTAATGAGATCTATCATCCTATGAAGTTTCAAGTACATAGCTTTTATACATTAGTAGAAATGGCCTGGACAAAAATAAGTATGAAAATTAACAAAGTGCAATAACTCAAAAAATAAGAAATGCAGAGTACTTGTTCTTGTGCACTGCACTTCTTCTTAATGAGATCTATCATCCTATGAAGTTTCAAGTACATAGCTTTTATACTTTTGGAGAAATGGCCCGCACAAAAATAAAGTATGAAAATTAACAAAGTGCAATAACTCAAAAAATAAGAAATGCAGAGTACTTGTTCTTGTGCACTGCACTTCTTCTTAATGAGATCTATCATCCTATGAAGTTTCAAGTACATAGCTTTTATACATTAGTAGAAATGGCCTGGACAAAAATAAGTATGAAAATTAACAAAGGGAAATAACTCAAAAATTAGGAAGTGAAGTGCAGAATACCGATTCTTGTGCACTGCACTTCTTCTTAATGAGATCTATTATTGTATGAAGTTTGAAGTCCATAGCTTTTATAGTTGAAGAGAAATGGCCCAGACAAAATTAAAGTATGAAAATTTACAAAGGGCAATAACTCAAAAATTAAGAAGTGCAGAGTACCGGTCCTTGTGCACTGCACTTCGTGTTATTGAAAGAAGCATGCATGCCAAGTTTGAAGTCAATCCAACTTAAAGTGACTGAGTTATGCTCCAGACAAGCTTAAGGGGATGCCGCCGCCGACAACAATGCCGCCAACAAAGTAATCCCTATATGTCACCTTTTGAAGGCGACACAATAAATGCACCTTACATTAGTAACAGGTGATGTCATGCAAATATACTGGTTTAAATCAATAGCATGTATCAAAATAAAGGTGACTAGGTGATGAAAACATATTACTCTACACTTAATGACATAAATCAGTTCTATTAATAGACCTGTCAAATTATGTGAGTAACAGAAAGGTCAACATTAAAAAATCAATACCCCAGTTAAGGTATAATTAATCATTCCATATGTGGGGTACTGCAATACTTTTCAAGATAATTAGCAGAAACCATTCTGACATTTAAGGCCACTATGACCTTTGACCTAGTGACCCTAAAATCTAAGGGGTCATCTTCTAATTATGCCCAATCACTATGTCAAATACAAAGACCTTGTGATGAATACTTTTCAAGATAATCAGTGGAAACCATTCTGATATTTAAGGCCCCTGTGACCTTGACCTTTGACCTAGTGATCCCAAAATTAATAGAGGTCATCTGCTAGTTATGACCAATCATTATGTGAATTACGGGGACTTTGTGATGAATACATTTTTAGATAATCAGCAGAAACCATTCTGACATTTAACGCCCCTGTGACCTTTGACCTAGTGACCCCAAAATCAATAGGGGTCGTCAACTAGTTATGACCAATCACTATGCGAAATATGAAGACTTTGTGGTGAATACATTTCAAGATAGACAGCAGAAACCATGTGGTCTACCCACGGACAGACCAACCAACATTAGCAAAACAATATACCCCCTCTTTTTCGAAGGGTGGCATAAAAATGTATGAATTTATCCGATGGACTTTATTCTCTCCAACTTTTTGCCTGGAGTCTTGTAATCTTCCCCGTTCCAAAACATTTAAAGAGTTGTTTTTCTGGTTTTGCACACCATTTTTCAAAACATTTTTCGTCAAAATTTTAGCAGTCGATCAACCTAACCTGCTTTCCTGGATAGCTTTTTTCTCCTTAAGTGACCCATGCAACAACTAAAATCCCACATGATTTTTGAATCAGTGGTGATACAGAGACCAAGTCCAAGTCATGTCAAGTCAAATTTATTTTAAGTCAGATTTCATATAACAACAAAACATAAAGCTTCTAATGAGCTTCTCTTTCACAGACTGATCTCAATGTCAATTGTCCTGGACATCATTCTGGAACACATCCTCAGAATCTACTCCCTACATTACATAAATATTTACTTATTCAAACCCAAAAACGATCACATTTAAGATGGTAGGGTGTTCTTACTACCTACATTTCTACCCCTACACTGCCTTCCTCTAATTCTTTAGCCATAGTTATTTACCATCAGTATTTCAATTAATTGCAGACCAATTAAAGTGGTTTAACAAGAAGTCAAAGCTTTCTGACAATGGTTTGTTTATCTTATTATATTGACACAAATTAGAATTGACTTGTGTATGTTATCAACAATGTATTACTAATAATTTTGTTACCCGTTTTATCGGGTCTGATTTTTTTCTTCAACTTTTCTGTCCTTTTGCTTTATATCTTACATGTCATTGTATATTGTTAGTATTCCTCATAGAAAATAAATAAAATATACCAATCAAAATCAGTGGTCGCACGGCTGGGTGGTTATCACATTGGTCTAGTAATCTCATGATCACTAGCCGCATGCCTTCAAACTCTGTCAGGGGAAAATTGTTGTTTCAATGAACAAGAAACTTTCCACTCATTGCTCAATACTGGTTTGTTCCAGGAATTAATCGTCAAAGTGTGCCGATAAGTTTATAGCTTCCTACATATCCAAACTAAAATGAATTCTGAATCGACAAAATAAAAGATAATAAGAAAGAATAACTTACTCCAACTCCATCTGAATATTTTATTCCAAGAATCTTATTACATTTGTACATTATTCTTAAACATGTATGATCTAAAAAATATTGAATCACCAACTATACCAACTTTCTCATATAGTATTTCATCTTGTAACACTATCAATTTTTAACATTTGCATTCACAATTTTTGTCAGATATTTACGATGACTGAAACAGCTAGATGTGTATTGCATATTGCCGCATTTGTTTTGAAAATCAATATAAAACTAAAATTATATTCATTTTTATTTCAAGACGTTAAAATCAAAACACTTTATATTTTAAATATATTTGAAAGGTTAAAAAAGCCTTCTCTATTCTTTACCAAACAGTAAGACAAGATGTTTCTATATTGCTTTGAAATATATTCTCGTGAATAGGTTTGAAACCAGTAGATCCCTATTAAAATTTTGTTCACATTTATCCAGTGTTGATGTGTGGTTTCTTTGCATTCTTCCATTTCATCCAGTCAAAACAAACAATTGTACATTTTGATCAAATATTTAAGAAAATATCTACATAAAATTATGTTGGTCATGTACCAATGCATCAGAATATATTATTGCACCTCTAAATGCAACACTCCAAATAAGTTCTTTAAGTACACTGACTTATGGCAGTACTTAGATAAACCTTTAACATATAAACCAATAACATGTTTATGAATAGATAGGTAAACTATTATCTTCAACAACATATCAGGTGATAAAAAAATATATACAATATGTAAACATGTCCAACAATTAAAAAAAAATCTTCCATCAAACCTCTTCTAAACCAAAGTCTCAACTTTTCTCTCTCATTTTTGACCTTATAAAAACAAATGGCATAACAATTGCATAGTAATACCAGAATAGTACTTGTACATGTATATAAAATTTAACAGTTTTATATTTAGTTATCATGTTTGTATAGAAAAAAATACATGTATGAATGGACTTTCTAATATAAAATAATGGCAATACATTTGGCAATAATTATGAAATGAGTTTGGACCATCTCACATGAAACTTAAGTGGATATAAAAATAAGTTCTGAAAACTCTCAGTTATGAATACATGTATAAGGAAAAAACACACACACACACATACCCAAATGTAAATTTCAGAAGATGCACTTTAACTTTATAAGTACATAAAATGTTTCAAGCATTTTTTTGCTCTTTTACAATAAACAATTTCTCTGTATTAAAAGTAAAGGAATAAACAATGTAAAACAATACACAAATAGCACTTTTGTCTGCATAATTATTACCCTTTATTAGATATAGTGTAATGATACAGGTTAATATATATTTTAATTTGTAAACATATAACGTGTTGTGATCATTTTCGTATTATGCCTATTATCTCCTGTAGAAAACATAAAATGTATAAAAGTTACATGTACAAAAAATCACCCAGGGGATCTTGATATTCTAATTAAATAAACCCCAAGAAGCTGTGTTGGATGATCTCCCTTGAATACTCTCACTGTTTTCGCAACTCCTCGGGACAATCTGGCTGAACACCTGGATCTGCTGCCTTAAATGCTGGTAATTCTGACAAAGCATCAATAATTCGTGTGATAGTTGGAAACTTTGTCATGTCTACTTTAAATCTGAAAACAAATGATACAATCCACATTTAAAAACCTATGTTGGAGGAATTTCAACTAAAAAACAACTTATCTTAGCTCACAATTAGTATTCTATACATGTACATACAAAAAGTCTTTATTGATGTTTATTGTTATACTCTATGTAAACATTTTGTACATTAATGTTCAACCATAAAGAAATTTATCAAATTGTATCTCATGATACATAAGAATGGCCTAGGAGGTATTTTAAGGTCCTTTGTTCCTCTTTAGTAGTCCTTTGTGGCTCCTTAGCAGTCCTTAGCGGTCCTTAGCAGTCCTTAGCAGTGTTTAGTAGGACCGGTATCTCATATGATTGAAATATTTCATGAGTTTGCAAAAAACAAAAACCAAAAACAATAACAAACAAGAATATCGGACAGACTGAAGGATGAACAGAAGGAAGGACAGTGCCATTACTACATGCTGCCCTTTTGGGGCATAAAAACCAAACAATGTACCTATAATTTTCACTGGCATAATGTAAGTTTTTATTAAAAAAGTTTTATATTTGAGCCCTGCCAAATACACGTCTCGCCATGAGGGTCTGAGTAAATTTCTTATGTCTCTTTATTGTCAGAAGTAGCAAAAAAAAAAAAAAAGAACAATCAGAACAAGTTTGTTTGCAACACATTTACAGTTTGGTTTAAGGCATGTAAAATGAATTTCAAATAAACCATAAAATAAGATTCGTTAAATGCATTTAACATTGACGTGATTTACCTTTGAGCGTTGTAGAGTTGAGGTACTAAACAAACGTCAGCTATTGTGATGTCATCACCTACAGAATACTTGCCAGCAGTACTCTGAACCATTTTCTCATATGCTGCAAAAAATATTTCAATTATTAATCTATTTTCTCATTCATTCCTTATCCCAATTAGCAAGTAACATGACTGTAAGCTTAAATCACACCCCATAACAGATAAAAAAAAATTTGAATAAAGCATTGAAAGCTTGCCGTGAAACATTATTTTGACGGTTATAGGGACATCCTTTTTCTTTATAATAATCTCTTTCCTATTCATCAAAACAGTTGCTACATTAATATAGGCAAAATTTAAATGAAGACATAAAGTTTGAAAACTGCCATTTCCCCATATGGAAGTTGGTACATTTTCATCAAGTAATACAAAGTATTGTGATTTTTCTACACATGATTTACTTTTAACTATCTGAATGCCAGTGATAGTATCTCCTATGTGCCAACCTTCACTTCACTTGTTTATTTTTCATGTTTGTTACAATGTAAGTTGTACTACTTTGTATGTCTTTACATGTAATCCTTGTTAACCTTTCAGTATACTAATTACAGGAAATACACCTGTAAGCTCCTTTACAATGTTAAATAACCGGCACCATTCCTGTCTGTTAGTCCCTCATTTTCTTTATGTAGGAGCTTATTTACAGTGGAGTTGGTTAATGGTTGTGTACCAGAAGTAAGTAACTCAGCCAGAGACCGAGCCTAAAATACAAACAAAATCTTGCTTACGCTTGGAATGTTTCAATAAATAAATAATTTGTTAACTTATTTAAAGACCCACCATCACCTACAACAAATTCATGTAATATTCACTATGTACCAATTTTGTAATATTACACAAATTGTACCAGTGATGTTAGGTATTGGTGTGTCTTTAAATATATGCAAGGCCATAATACCATCTTTACCTGCAAATCCCTTGTCAATCCAAAATCGGGCCCATTCTGCCCTTTCTTCAGGTTTATCAGAGACTTTCTGCAACACTCCAAGGTTCTGTATCGGCTGGGTTCCAGCTGCTATAAGTTCAGCAAGGGCTCTAGCCTGGTGCCAGCAGAAGTAAAATATATTTGGATATCATATGATCATAAAGAAAAATCCTGAGTTATGAATGTTTGATAAATTTTGATACTTCATGATTCTTTAAAGGACGATAGTTTGCACTTAACAGTACTATCCATGAACAGGCTCAATAAAACTGAGCCTGCAATATTTCCAATTTTGTTGTTTGGACTTTCTTTAGGGATTCTTATTTTCTTTATTTTATTTATTTCAACAATGCAATCATATTGCACTTTCCTTGGATTGGCTGCTAACACTAACTGTTTTACTACCATCTACTGTTTCCTTTTCTATATTAACCCTTAACCTGGTGAATTTGTGTAATGGATTTGCCAAGCTTTCAATTTTTTAAGTTTGAAGTCTATTCAAAGTTTATTGAATTCAATATCTATGCTATGGGTTCGAGTCCTAACAGGGACTTTGGATTCTTTCATTAGAGAAAGCTATCCAGCTAGCTTACGGAAAGTCGGTGGTTCTATCAGACTCAGCTATCGCCCCCTACAATATAGGATTGACAGCTGTATTTGTTCAATAGAATTAAGTATTGCACTCAACAATGTGTAATAACCTCATATCATTGTCATCGATATTTAATTCAATATCAACACACTTTGTAGAATAATAATTTAAAGCTTTTTTCTCTGTGTATACTTTGCTTACATTTATGACAACTCTTACCTGGGCTTTCTTTATAGGATCTTCTGGTACAATAGCTGGCTTTGGATAAACATCTTCTAAATAGTCTATGATAGCAAGCTGTAAATAATAATTTATATTGGAGTATTCATAATTGAAACAGAGAGTAAGAGTTTCAAGAAGCACTCATTTTGAAGGATGTTTTATTAAAATTTGATTTACATTTTGAAAACAGAAAAAGATTAGGTATTTATAAATTCTTAAGGCCGTTTAGACCTTTTTACACAGGTAAGTGGCAGAGTGGTGAATGCATCAGACTAGGAATCCAGCTGAGGCATGTATGAAACCATGTCAGACAGCAAGCCATTGTTTCTTTGTGCAAGGAACTGTACTAGTCATTTTCTAGAAAATAGAATCAAAACGTGTGTCCTACACTATATTTAATTTGACAATCCCAAAACCAACAATTTGTAAAAATCATTTTACCACACAATCTGGGGTATATATTTTTTGAATTATCTAAAAATGTGTTAATATGACACCACATAAGACAGTTATACTCCATTCCCACTTATTTGCCTGTCAGTGCATATTTAATACTTATGTTTCATAAAGGTAAAGTGTTAAATTAATAAATAAATAATAGAATTACAATGTATCACTAAATGTACGAACAAACACCTATGTCTGAGGCAATTCTAGTCAGGACTATACAGTAAGTTTCACTGTGATTTTTATGTTTGACCTAATGACCTTAAAATCAATAGGGGTCATTTAATGACCACAATAAAAGTCCCTTTCAAAGTTTCCCAGTCTGAGGCGTATTACTTCTCAAGTTATTAATCAGACAAGACATTATTTTTACACAGAGTGTCTGGTTTGTTTGGGTTTAACTGTCCGACTGTTACATTACTGGTCATACTGGGCCAAATACACAGTGTGTTAATCTCTATAGTTCCAGTATTCTGGGCATACCCATCTTGTGGGCAGCGAAAACATTTATGGATGACATGACAATATACATAATAATTATATACATACTGATTGTGTGAGAGCTGTTTCCCCAATGACAAATGCTGGCACTTGTTCCATAGGGTTAAGAGCTTTGAATTCTTCTGAATGCTATGGTATAAAATTAAGAGTTCGATTTTACAAAAATTTCACACAATAATGTCATATATGGATACAAAGAAAATTGCTGAGAAAATTTTTATCTGAAAGCATGTTGTTATTGTTATCAGTATTAGATTTTGCAAGTATTGTAGGAATAAATAACAGGTAACTTGTTCTTGGAGGAAATTTTTTCTAGAAATTCCTGTATAACTATAATGTCATAACGTCCAATAACTAAAATGTTTTACTAATGGTTTCTCCCTAAAACCCGAAGTTTCCGTACTAAAAAATGGATAAAGGCAAGCATTTTTATCAACATAATTATACATTATATAAAATGAAAAGTACTCCACATGTAAGATAATCACTGCAAATATAACTAAGTCTAAATAATATTTTAAATACAATCATCTTGCGTGCATAATACATATATGAAAAAAAGCATCAGTGCAAAATGATAAGTTACATTTATAAATGATTTCTCCCGTATGTGAAGATGTCAGAATGTTTTCTCTCTCTCCCTACAATGTTCAAATATGTTGAACATAACTTTACAACATTAGGTCAGCAAACAATAACAGACAATAATTTTGAAATCACAGTCTGACAGACATCACAAGATGAAGTTTGTATATTACTACCTGTTGTCCTCCATCTTTAACAAGATTGACAGCCTTGTACTCATAGTCTACTCCCTTTAATGCTAGAACTGAAAAATGAAATAATTTTCTATAAAAAAGTTTTATTTATAATGGAACTCTAGTGAGATCCACAAGAATAAACTAGAAATGTGTCCATAGGACACAGGTGCCCCCACCGCGCCACTGTTCTGTCAATCTTTTTACTAAGTCAAGGGAAATAACTCTACAAATACTGGATAAATCCACAAGCGAAACCCCAGGTGCAAATCTAAATATGCTGAGCAACCTTCCCATAAGGTTTAATGACTATGTCAAATCCTTTTTGATTAACTTGCGACACAAGTTGAAAATTGCAAATATTTTCTAAGTGAAGGGCAATAACTCTAAAAATACTAAATAAATCCAGACGAAAATACCTGGTGCACAACTGCACATGCTGATCAATATTCCTGTAAAGTTACATGACTCTAGGTCAAATACTTTTTGAGTTACGTGCGACACATGTTGAAAAATTGCAAAATTTTACTAAGTCAAGAGCAATAACTCTGAAAAATACTAAAAATATCCAGACGAAAATACCCAGGTGCACAACTACACATGCTGATCAACATTCCGGTAAAGTTTCATGACTCTAGGTCAAATACTTTTTGAGTTACGTGCAACACAAAAGTGAACGGACGGACGGAAGGACGGACGGAATAGGGTAAATCTAAATGCCCACCACTAACGTGGGGGCACAAAAACATACAGTTTGATTTTCTTACATAGATCAACTGGAGCACGAAAAACAGAAAGATATGCAAAAGAAAATTAAGAAATATACTCAGAAGTAAATTGTAAATTGTATTTTTGTGCTATTCATAGGTCAATTTGAGTGAAAAGCATTGAAATTCTTTTCAAATTGGGCAATTTTCACAATCAGAATAATTATTCTGGAAAATAGAGTAAGCAAATGATTTGATATTTTTCATACAAGTTATTGGTCTAGACTTACATCAAATGGAACCAGTAGCTTAGTATAACAAACTTTAGTAAGTTTAATTGATAACTACCTCACATGGAAAATTCCATGTCCAAGCAGTATGGAAACACAAAGTGACAAAGTAAATGTAGTGACTGAAACAGTAAAAAACTCACACATACATTACCAATCTATTTCAATTAAACAGGACAAGGGCAATTTTTGTGTAGGGATTCTTTCACCAACTTATCAAAAGTTGCTAAAAATCTTTTCTGAATGATAATAAATAATTTTTGACATCTTTCTTTTTTGTTAAGTAGTGAAAGGCATGTAGGCATCTGAATGGAACCATTGTTTTCCCATTACATATCCCTCAAGGGCATTGGACAGGTACATGTAGGAAAATTTGCCTTTCATTTAAATTTGTGACAAATAGAAAAATATTTTTGGAAAAAAAGCAAATTTATGTAAATTGAATCAATACAAGGGAAAAACACCATGATCTTAAAGAAATGTCCTGGGGGTGGAAGCAGAGAAGCCAGTAGCTATCCTTAAAATGACCCCTGCTATAGAAGGAAAGAACACCAACCACTCAAATCTATAATAAAAAAATCTTACCTATTCTTTACTCTCCAAGAAGCTGAGCTTTCTGAAGTATGAGTACAAAATTGGCTGAAACAAAAATAGAAAATACATTTCATTTTATCACAGGCAAAGTTTATACATAGTTTATTAAATATTATTAAAAAAGCAAACTACCAAATACCTTGTCAAGCAAATAAGTCAACATAATTATGAACTCTTGAGCACCAATCAATTTATCAATGATCTAATTTTACACACCATCTTCTGTAAAGCATTAGGTTGTTTGTTATCAAGACAAAGTCTAGGTCCCCAGCAGAGTTTTGATTAAATGGAAGATAAGATCTTATTCTTACTAAGTGTTTTGAAATTGTACCAGACTATTAAGCAATTCAAGATAATTTAAGGGGCATTTGTCAGTCAAGCTCTTTTGAATTTTTTTATTATCAAAATCATAATATTTTAATGAATCAAAACATAAATTTAGAGTTTTTAAAAAATGTCATTTCTGACGTCTATCTTTGACTCCTGTAACCTGCTTTTGTATCAGAATGAAACAATTTACATAGCCTACCTGTTTATACATCTAGAGGGCCAACTGAGAAGTTATGTGGTTGATTTTAATTGTGGATACACAAGGACAACACAAAATTAATGAGAGACATTATGTGATTACAAAAGTTCACCTTGATCTGAGCAATTTGTGTTCAGATGAGAAAAAACAAGAGGGCCATGATGGCCCTGAGGTCGCTCACCTGTATATAGGCCGCCCCAACCCCCAGGGCTTTTATTTGCACAAACTTGGTAGACACCCATAAGAAAATGTTTCATGCTAAACATCTAAGCTCTAGCTCATTGGGCTATTTAAAAGAAGATTTTTTTTAAGTTTTTACTATACACATATAGTTAAAAAACATGAATACGCCTGGGGCCGGGCCAGTTATGACCCAGGGTTTTTATTTGAACAAACTTTGTAGACACTTACTAGAATATATGTTTCATGCTTAATATCTAAACTCTAGCTATTTGGGTTTTTTCAAAGAAGATTTTAAGTTTTTGCTATACACATATAAGGAAAATCAATGACCCCGGGGCAGGGCCAATTTTGACCCCAGGTCTTTTATTTGAACAAACTTTGTAGACACTCACTAAAAGATGTTTCATGCTTAATATCTTAACTCTAGCTATTTGGGTTTTTTCAAAAAAGATTTTTTTAAGTTTTTTTGCTATACACATATAAGGAAAATCAATGACCCCCCGGGGCGGGGCCAATTTTTGACCCCAGGGCTTTTATTTGAACAAACTGGTAGACACCTATTAGAACATGTTTGATGCTAAAATATCTTAACCATAGCTCTTTGAGTTCTTTAAAAGAAGATTTTTAAGTTTTTTACTATATGCATATATAGGGAAAAATCAATGACCCCCCCGGGCGGGTCAATTTTGACCCCAGGGCTTTTATTTGAACAAACTTGGTAGACACTTATTAGAACATGTTTCATTGCTAAATATCTTAGCTCTAACTCTTTTGGTTCTTTAAAAGAAGATTTTTAAGTTTTTACTATATGCATATAGGGAAAATCAATGACCCCCTGGGGCGGGGCCAATTTTGACCCCAGGGCTTTTCTTTGAACAAACTTGATAGACACCTATTAAGAACATGTTTGATGCTCAATATCTTAGCCATAGCTCTTTGAGTTCTTTAAAAGAAGATTTTTTAAGTTTTCACTATATGCATATAGGGAAAATCAATGACCCCCCGGGGCGGGGCCAATTTTGACCCCAGGGCTTTTTATTTGAACAAACTTGGTAGACACTCACTAGAAGATGTTTCATGCCAAATATCTAAGCTCTAGCTCTTATGGTTTTTAAAAGAAGATATTTAAAGTTTTTTCTTTCGGTTGCCATGGCAACCAGAGTTCTGCATGGAATTAAATTCTTTGAACAATTTTTAAAGGTGGACCACCAAAGGAACATTCCTGTGAAGTTTGGGATGAAATTGGCCTTGTGGTTTATGAGGAGATGTCATTTAAAGTAAAAGTTTACGGACGACGGACGGACGACGGACGCCGGACGAAAAGCGATCACAAAAGCTCACCCTGTCACTTTGTGACAGGTGAGCTAAAAACTAACAACAAAAAACAAAAAACAAAACAAAAAATACCTTAATTGAAGATCATTTTACAACAGTCTAAATACTTGATTCATAGTATTAATGCATTATATATTCCCAGTTAAGATGTCTTGTGGATAATGTATTATGTATTAACCAATGTTGATACTATGTTAAGTGTGCAAATAATTAAGATTTTATTTAGATTAATAATTTTGAATTTATTTACCTCAACCAGGCTGGGTAAAAATGCCCCATCGGCTTATGACATAAAAAAATCATATTTCTAGACATATGATAAAGAGGTTTCCTTTTAAACTTTGTTTTTTTTTATTGAACATAATGTATAACATAAACAGAAAGAGAAATATTTGGGTAAACTGTCGCTTTTTGTGAGATTGTTTCCCCTTTTTCATGTTTATATAACACAAAAATTTTCCAAGTCCTTAAAAAATGTTTCACCAGCGCTGCTCACTACTCTAAATTGTTTTTTTTTTTGTGTGTTTAAGTTTTACCAATTAAGCCTTGGTTATTTAATATCCTTACTTACTTATGATCTCATTTGATTCACTGTTGATCTCATTATGATTATTGGTTTTTATTTTGTGTCAAGATTAAGATTGTCAATGTAAATGACACATGATTGGTGTAATATAATGAAATTAGGTGCTACCTATATATGGCGTGGGAAAGCTCTTATGAAAATTATGAGTTGAGCATAACAATGTTTAAGTGTACATGTAAAAACCAGTTCTTTCTTGCAGGTATTTTGTACTGTAAACAAAAAAGAATAAATTGGTAGCGTTCAACCTATTATCGGAGCGCTCGGAATATTCCAAAAATCTCCGACCACTGCGCACGTGTCGGCGTTTGGAAAATCCGTCCGCCATTTTTTGTTAATCTCTAATCACAGTTGTTGTTTAAACATTATTTTTAATGTGCTAATTTATCAAAAAGGATATGTTAAAGTACCTTTTTATATTTATAATCGTTACTACAGTTCTTATCAATGAAATGCATGTTTACTTTCTGATTTTGCACATCATTCCCTGACTGGAAGTGTTATTTAGCAGACGCTAGCAATAGTCTATATTATGTAGACGCTCATTAAAAGGCTCTGATATCTTTATTTAGCTCAAAAGGATTTCAAAATGGTGGCGCCCAGTTAACTGAGGATTTTTTCACAGCTCATTAGGTATAGGATATATTTTTTTGAAAATTTCATTTACTTTTTATTTGATTTCATTTGAATTGACACACGTCAATGGCCCCGCTTGGACTTTCCGCATATAAAATTTATTCTATTCTGTAATTTAACAGTTTCATGATAACATTCCATTGTTGCTACCTTACATTTGCATTCAAAGAGTCATAATATACTGACACACAGCAAAACATGAATAGTAATTCGGTGTTAATCAGAATAGCTACACGTTTTGCCTACCTGAGCCTGTGCTTTATCACTTGATAACCAGGTAATGGTATGCATGCAAAATCAATGTTGTTCCCCGACTATACAAAAAAGAGAAGAATATGAATTTTCAAAGAAGTGCTCAAAACATTAATACGGCCATTGCCCCATAATCTTACACTGATCATATACCATGACAATGTCCTGAAGCACAATAAATTTGCAAAATAATTTTTATTTTCCCGGTCACTTACTTTTGCGGCCATGTTGAAGTTATCAGTATAAATTAAGCCTTGGTATCGTATTTTGTAAGGTGTATTTTTTCTGTTTAATAAAAAAAGAATTGAGCTTACATATTAAAGAAAACTGCGGGTTTAAAAATTTGATAAACCAGAAAAAAAAAACTCAGAAACAAATTTGAAAATGCGAAAATTTTTTTTTTCCAAATTTTGAAGTGAATATATTTCCCGGGCTTTCCCCCTAAAAAAGTTTTGAGGTTTTTTTTTTACCCCTAGGCCCCAAATGACACGTAATCGTTTAATTTAATGAGAGTCACATACAGAAAATGTCTGATAAAGTAACAGGTATACCTGTAAAAAGAAAGACAAAGTTTGTTGACAATAGTCAGAACAAAAGTGGAACTAAAACAGATAGCAACTTTGTTAATAAATCTCAAAAATCCGGACAATCATCCCCTGACAAAAGGGGTAACTCAGCTGAAATGGGAAGAGAAGGGAATATGTCAAAGTCAGCGAATGAAAAACAGAATAGTGGTGTTGAACAAACTACAGAAAATGGAGTACAAGATTCTGCTGGAAACAAAACAGAAAAAAATATGTCATCATTTGAATGTTCTAATGGTGTTGCATCCCTTACTTACAGCAGTGATCAAAATGTTTTATATTATGCTGTATTATCAGTAGTTACAGTATTAGGTTTCGCAACAAGGCTTTATAAACTCGATGTTCCAGCATGGATTTGGTAAATCTGTATTGTATTATAATTATCTTATTCTTTATATTAGATTTTTTAAGGTAATTTCTTCTTTTATTCTAAATTGATATACATGCATATCACAATCTAATTATCTATGGAGTGAAATGACTTCTCACGGTCATGCTGAGCTGACTATTCGATATGCAATTTGTCACAGCCATATTTTGATTTTATTCTTTCTCATCATTTTGTATAAATAGCTTCTTCCTGATATTAAATATTAAACACAGGTGTTTGGCGCGTTGATTGGTCACTATCTCCCCCGTCCCTCGACCCACTTTTCTTCAATCCTCCTACCTCTTCAAAATCTGCAGTATTTTTCATTTGAAATATGTTTTAATATGTGATATATGCTTCAATTTAATTCCCATCATTTCCCACAAAATTTTATGTAAAAAAACAATATGTATATATTTAGTGCTAAATATATATGTACCGTTTTCACGGTTTTGTTTTGTTTTTCTATTTGGAAAAGGAAATTCAAAGGTTTTTTCACAATGAGGACAGGAGTAAAATCCCTGCAATAGTGTACATGTAGATACATAAAGAAATCAATCACAGCTAATAACCAACAACACACATTTTAATTATGTCAGATTACAAATGAAGATAAAAATAAATTTCAAAGCTTGAATGCTGTGGATGTGAAACCTGATTGTTCACACACTCAAGATTTTTAACTTGTTTGCTGCTTCAAAGAAAAGTCAAGCAATTATGATTGCTGCATCCTTGTCTTTGATTTAGCGCCAAAACTTTATTAACATGTAGTCCATTATTTTAATACATTTATCATTATGAAACTTGGAATTCTTTCTTATCATGACATGAAAAGCATCTCTTGGAATAGTTGATCATTATAACATTTACAAGAGTTAAACAAGGGGAATGGTCTTGAAATCAATTTAATATTTTAAATGTATAGTTTTTGTAAAAATTAGTAAATGAAATAAACTTATTAATTGGAATTTATGAAAACTATCACAGATATTGCACTCACTTTTGTCATACTTGCTAATGGTGACATGGCACATTTATAGCACAAGGGACATAACTAAGTATTGTAGAGACTAAGAGTAATGCCCCTTTTTCATCTTGAAATTCAATTAATTATTTGGTATTAATACTATTTAATATCTTTCACATTCACGAAGTTATTCATCTTATTAAAGTGACTCCACTGAGGGTTTTGGACATGACAAGACGGAAAATAATATTTCAAGATTTATGTTCCATTTGATGTAGATCTATACCAATAGCTAGTGTACTACAAAATTTTAAATCATTCACTCACTTCCTTTTTTATGCCCCCGCCATGTAATGGCCGGGGCATATAGTGTTACCCTGTTCCGTCATTCCGTCCTTCCGTCCTTCCATCCTTCCATCCTTCCGTCCTTCCCTCCTTCCGTCATTCTGTCATTCCGTCATCATCAGTTTCCGTTCATTATCTTAAGAACGGTTGGGCACATTCAACTCAAATTTGACATATGGATATGTCATGAGAAAATACAGGTCAAGTTCGAATTTGGTCATGGTTCGATGATTTTTGCAGAGTTATGTCCTTTTTTACTTTGAAAATAATATGAAATTTCAGTTTCCGTTCATTATCTCAAAGAACGTTGGACACATTCAACTCAAACTTGACATATGGATATGTTATGAGAAAATACAGGTCAAGTTCGAATTTGGTTTATGGTTCGATGATTTTTGGCAGAGTTATGCCCCTTTTACTTTGAAAAATAATATGAAATTTTCAGTTTCCGTTCATTATCTCCACAACGGTACAACACAAATCAACTCAAACTTGACATATTGATGCGTCAAAGGAATGCGCAGGCCAAGTTCAAATTTGGTCGTGGTTCGATGATTTTTGGCAGAGTTATGCCCCTTTTACTTTGAAAATAATATGAAATTTTCAGTTTCGTTCATTATCTCCCTCAAGGTACAACACATTCAACTCAAACGTGACATATGGATGCGTCAATGGAATGCGCAGGTCAAGTTCAAATTTGGTCATGGTTCAATGATTTTTTGGCAGAGTTATGCCCCTTTCACTTTGAAAGTAATATGAAATTTTCAGTTTCCGTTTATTATCTCCCCAATGGTACAACACATTCAACTCAAATTTGACATATGGATATGTTTCTGGAATGCCCAGGCCAAGTTCGAGTTTGGTCATGGTTCAATGATTTTTGGCAGAGTAATGCCCCTTTCACTTTGAAAATAATATGAAATTTACAGTTTCTGTCATTATCTACCTAACAGTGTTACATTTTAAATTTTAATTTGAAATATGGATATGTCAAAGGAATGGGCAGGTCAAGTTGGAAATTTTGGTCAGGGTTTGATGTTTTTTTTGGCAGAGTTATGTCCCTTTCACTTTGAAAATAATATAGATACATCTTAAGAATAAGCAGTTTAAGTTTGAATTTGGTCACGGTTCAATGATTTTAGACAAACTTATCTTTCCTGAATGTTGGAAAAATTTTGAACTTTCAGTTTCAGCACTCATTCTTTTAGCCATTATTTTGGCTACAAATATGCAATATGCTTTTTCTAAAGGTTAAGACTGAATAATTTCAGTGCCTTGAACGTTGTATGGAAATGGTTTGTGTTAACATTGAAAAGTTTTAAGGGCTTTGAACTTAAAATGAAAAAAAAAAATTAATGCACCATCTGAAATTTTGGCTGCATGCGGGGGCATCCGTGGCATGATGACACATTTCTAGTTCCAGAATAATTTAAAAATAAATTATTATAACTGCAAAAATTGAAAAGTTGTAACGCTTTTCAGTAAACTCGGGCTTATAATACCACAAACACAATTTTCAATTTATTTCTGAGTATATTTCTTAATTATTTTTTGCCTATCGTTCTGTTTTGAGTGTCTCCAGCTAGCTTTGTAAGGAAAAGAAACAAACAGTCATTACACCATTCTTGTCTGAGCTGTTGTCTTTTATAATAAGTTTAGAAGGTATTAACACTGCATGTAGTGCTCTTGTTTACATTTATAAATTGTCAAGTTGTAAAAGAACATTATGTCCATACTTAACTATCAAAAGTCATCTTGAATGTGTGGAATTTTACAGAAGGTGACAGAAAAAAGAAAGAATGATGTCTGAATATTATAGATTTTAATAGAAAGTTATTTTTTGTCTTTTTAGTTGGGATGAGACTCATTTTGGAAAGATGGGCAGTTGGTACATCAATCATACTTTTTTCTTTGATGTGCATCCTCCACTTGGAAAGGTAAAAATCTTTATTTTCTGTTAGATTTTGCTTGTAATAATACTAATAATGTCCTGTGTCATTTTAGGGCTTGTTGTTTAAATATTAGTCAGTACTCAATTCAGAGCCCTTACATAATGTTTATAATATGCATTTCTAAGTGACAGAATTAGTTAATTAAGTCTTGAATCATTCATAAGTAGACTGTATATATTTCTATTGTAAAGTGAACAGAAGTGTACATATCTCTGAAAGGCTTTCTTAATCTCAGGAACAAACAGTATTCATATATATGTGTATTGGCATTTCTTATGTTAAACTATGAACTAATGTTTCGAAACCCATTTGCTTTTCAGATGCTGATAGCATTTGCAGGTCATTTGTCAGGTTATAATGGTACATTTCCCTTTGACAAACCTGGTGATCTCTATGGTGACACACCATATATGGGCATGAGACTTGTAAGTATGACAATATCAATTATTATATGCTCTTTGTTATAATAAAGGTTGGCAGGCAGGGAGAGATAATTATTTACTTATGACATTCGCTAATCGCAGTTTATGAGATAAAACGTTATGTCATGTTGTTAATTTGTCATTCAAGCAACATATTTGATTTTCAAAATTGTTTTTCAACTGCTTCTCCTGTAAAATAATATGATAAAATGATTACATATGGAAAGCTTCTCCTGTAAAATAATATGATAAAATGATTACATATGGAAAGCTTCTCCTGTAAAATAATATGATAAAATGATTACATAAGGAAAGCTTCTCCTGTAAAATAATATGATAAAATGATTACATATGGAAAGCTTCTCCTGTAAAATAATATGATAAAATGATTACGTAAGGAAAGCTTCTCCTGTAAAATAATATGATAAAATGATTACGTAAGGAAAGCTTCTCCTGTAAAATAATATGATAAAATGATTACATATGGAAAGCTTCTCCTGTAAAATAATATGATAAAATGATTACGTAAGGAAAGCTTCTCCTGTAAAATAATATGATAAAATGATTACGTAAGGAAAGCTTCTCCTGTAAAATAATATGATAAAATGATTACATAAGGAAAGCTTCTCCTGTAAAATAATATGATAAAATGATTACATAAGGAAAGCTTCTCCTGTAAAATAATACGATAAAATGATTACATAAGGAAAGCTTCTCCTGTAAAATAATATGATAAAATGATTACATAAGGAAAGCTTCTCCTGTAAAATAATACGATAAAATGATTACATAAGGAAAGCTTCTCCTGTAAAATAATACGATAAAATGATTACATAAGGAAAGCTTCTCCTGTAAAATAATGTGATTACATGTGGAAAAATCTGATAGGCTCTATTTAATGTTCAAAGCAGAAGCAATGTTTTTTTTGACATCAGAAGAAATGATGTGAATTGAGACAATTGTTAACTTTTATACTTTAAAATAGGACCAAAGATTAAAATAGAAGCAAAGTTTACAATAAGGATGGATGAAAATTAAATATATTTAAGTTTTAAAAACAATTTTTCTCAAAATTGTCCAATTAAGCATATGGTTTAAGGTGTGGTTGTTATTGCTTTATCATTCCCTTGTCAAATTGTCAATGTATGTAAAACATTTAACAGGATAACAGTGAAGTAAATTTCCCTAAAGCAATTAGTAAAATAACTAATTAGAACATGTACATGTGGTTAAACATTTACCAGTGCAGGTTACTGTCAAAATATGTTAGTTTGAAGAGCAATTTATATAGAATTTTTATGTTAAAAATTGTGTGTCTTCTCATGTATAAAATGATCATTAGTCTGTAAATGATAGCTATGTGTAATTAGAAATTTAAAACAAAGCAAAATAATAAATAAATACAGAAATACAGAAAAAAATAAATAATTAAATAATTGATATATAAAAATAGATAATTAAAAAATATGTAAAAAGATGAATAAAAAAATTGGATGGCCTGTCCCTACATTTTACGCAGAATATGTTTATTACTAAAACGGCTTATATTAAGTTTTTTTGATATATATGATCAGTACATGTGCTGGGATTGACAAATATGCATTTTATTTGGATTTTAAAGGTGTTTTGAGCTCCAAACCCCAAGTGTCTGTGATATCAATGTTTGCATAAACAATCAATAAATCATAAAATGCAATCTGGTATAAGCTGTTGATTATAAAACCTGAGTACATTTGTTTTGTGAAAGCCTATAGCTATTGTGTTAAAACAGAATACACTGTTAATGACATTGAAAGAATCTTGATATTGTACCATTGTTTGAGATGTTCAAAATGGTCACTGTGTTTTCCTTGGATTTGCTTAAAAATAAATACATTTACCAATATCTCCCTGTCTAGAAATCATGTGAAGTAAAAACTGAAATGTATATTCATGTTTTAAGGAAACAGATTGACAGGCAGAAAAGCATTGCTTTTTTTTGTTTGTTTTTTTTTGTTTTTTGTTTTTTAAAGCAGCACGCCTCCAGATTCTTGCTAATTTTCATGAATATTTTGAAAATGTATTTGAATGTGTAATATTGTGAAGTAACCAAAAGAAAGCAATTTACAAATTATCAGTGGCACTTACAATCCACGTCAATACCGAAAAGTGGTCAAAATATGCATAAATAGCCTTACTGCGTTAGTAACGCAGTAGAAATATAGTTCAAGTTGTGCATACTGAAAAAATTAGTCATTAATCGCACATAATATGTAAAATATTACTTGAATCTTCAAACTTTTTACTTTTCCTTACATCTTAGAATATTTTTCTCAAATTTGATTTTATTGAAATATTTTGACTCATCTGGAGGCGTGTAGCTTTAATGACTTGTGTCTTATTAATCTGTGTATGAAACAATCATAAAATATTATGAATAATTAGAGTAGAATATCAATTGAGAATTCAGTGATAGATGATGTATTATGATTATATTTCAGATGTGTGCATGTATGGGAGCTGCCCTGATACCTCTAGTATATATGTCAACCTGGTTGTTATGTCAATCTATAACTGCAGCTCTTATTGCATCTTCCCTTGTCATTTTTGGTAAAGTTTTTTTTGGCTTTTTTTTCTTTATCATAAAGTTTTTACACTCTGTGAGATCTAGTTTAAAGATATACCATGTTCAAATTTGATATTTGAAAATATTGATCATTGCCACACGGTCTCTTAATAAATATGACATAAACATGTTTTGACTTCATACAAAGTAGATATGTTATGTTTAAATTTCTACAAACTATAGGTGATCACAATATGAATATACAGTGACATTAAAAAACTGGCAGTTTTTTTAAAGAAAATACCAACTTTATTTGAGCTGTTATAGGAAATGCAGCTTTCAATACATAGTTTATTCGCTTTTTTATTCAAATTAGACATATCCAGTAAGAATTTGAAAGATTTCAATAAATTTCTGTTATTAAAATAGTTTACTGAAAGATGAGCATAGTATATCTTTAAAATAAGATATTTTTTTTAAAGATAATTTTTGTGTTGTACTTAGAAAGAAATACATGTACATTGCACAAATAAAATGACATGTGACCTTATTCGGTTTATTATATAATTCTCCAGGGTGTGCAGGAAGGAGTAATATGCATTTTTATATTTAGAAAAAAAATGTTATTCTAAATTGACCATGGTAATTTAGTTTATCACATAAACCGCAGCACAGGAGTGTTATAAAGCCATTTAATAAAAACGATATTAAACTAGACGATGTTACACTAGTGTAATAACACTTTGACGTCACGTCATTTGCGCTATAAACATAGAGTTAAAGCGCGCTAATGTTAGCGTTACACTATAGGAGCGTCAAAGAAAAATGACTCTTGTTAACAGTTTACCGTTCTTATTTTTTTATATATGTGATAAATAGAATATTATATTCGTGTAGATTCAATACTAAATTTATTGAACTCGTTGAATAAAACAAAATTATGCTCGCCAGAGGCAATCATAATATGATTTTATTCAACTCGTTCAATAAATTTAGTATTAAACCTACACTCATTCAATATCCTCTATTTATAGCCTATCAACCAGTTTAGAGGCGGGCACATTTTTGCCTTCTGACCAGGGCCTCTAACAGTTGTTAAAGGAAAATTCAAATTTTTTCTAAACAAAAGAAAATCTCTGTGTGAATAAAAACAATAAGTTAAAATAAGGTAAAATTTTTGACAAATATGAGTAATTGACATAGACCTTTATTTTAGAACATTGAATTTTTTAAACTTTGATGTTATTTTCAGACCTGGGTATTAACACTCTTACACGATATATTTTGTTGGACCCGATTCTCATGTTCTTCATCATGGTATCAACTTACACACTACTGAAGTTTCTCTCATACAGGGACAGGTAACTATGACAAGGGTTTTTTTTTATTGTTTTAAAAGGGGGAAGGGTCACCCCAAAGGGGTGGGGGGGGAAGAAGGGGGGGGAGGGGAGTGGGTTTTATGAGTTTTACAACCCCTGTTTTATTTAAATTTATTTAAAAAAATCCCTTTTTATTTTTCTTTACTTTCCAAAAAAATTAAATATACAAACTAATACCCTTTGTTTTTTGAATTTTAAAAATTGCCCCATAATTTTTCGATACTTGGGAGCCCTTTTTTACCTAATTTTGGGTTTAAAATTTTGTTTGTTTATCATTGCTCTTGAAATTTTAAACCATCTCCCAATAAAAAAAATAAACTTTTATTGAAACAAAAAGAAAACTAAAAAGGTTTTTTTAAAATAATTTTTTTCGCTTAAAAAAAAGCCAGTTTTATTGTTTTGATTAACTTACCCTTTTTAATTAAAAAATTTTCTTTTGGCTAAAGGCCCCTTTAAATGTTTAACCTTACCCCATTTTTTGGCAAAAATTTTTTACCCATGGAACCCTTTCAGCCAAGATTTAGCTTTCCACCCAATTTTAAAGTTTTAACTAGCTTAAGGAACCCGGTTTGGGTTCCTAAAACCCGGTGCCCATTTTGTGCCCAAATTTAAAGCATGGGGGGCACCTGAGGGCTTTCTCCCCAAAAAATTTTCCATATGGGCCCAATTTTGTTTTGGGGTTTAAGTAAAACCCAATAAACAAACAAAAAAACTGTTTTTCTATTTTTTCAATTATGTTTTGTTTTCCCTTAAAACGGGTTTAAAAATTGTCAAATTTAAAGTTGGACAAGGTTCCAAATTTAAAATTTTAACATGAAAAAAATGGTTAAATGGTTAAACATAGTCAGAATTTTTCAACTTTTTGAAATTTTTAAATTTTTAAAAAGTAAACATTAAATAAAGTTAAATTTTAGAATTTTTTCAATTCAAACAGTGTACAAATTCGTAACAAAATTGGTTTAACAAATCATAAATTTTTGGGGTTTTATTTTGTTTTAAAAATTTGGTTTTCCCTTTTTGGGTTTTAAATTTTAAAAATTAAAAAAAAAAATTAAAAAATTAAAGTATTTTTCCTTTTTTTAAGGGGTTAAACAGAATTTTAACCCCCGGTTTTAATTCATCCGGTGTAAAAATACTGCAAAAAAAGAAAAATTTTTAATTTTTTTTTTCAAATTACAAAAAAAAATTAAAATGCAAAAAAAATTTAAATTAAAAAAAAAAAAAGATAAAATCTGGCTTCATTGCTGACAATAAGTAATTGTTTAGTGGTAAATCGCTGGTGTAAGAGTCTTATAAGAATCCATGGTATTCAGTAGGCAATGGTTTGTACATGTCACATGTAGATACATATCTAAAATACTTCTGAACTGTTGCAAATTACAATAAAACATTTATTTACCAAAATTTTAATCTAAATGAAGATAGTTAAGGACTACTCCATTACTAAACTTCATGTGGACTTGGATAAAGTACACTGGGTTCATAGTTAGACTTATTCTGAACAGAACTATGTTCATACATAAGTTTTTATAAACTTGCTATATATACTGTATATTAGTTATTACAACGTTTCTACAGCTTTATAATTTCAATAACTTTGAGACTATACAAAAATATTGTAATGAATGTGACAATGTTAATTTAATTTATCTTAGAATGTTAACCTTTAAAAAAAAAATATTTTAGCAGTGCAACTAAAGAGATAATAGCAATTGTTAACTAATTGAATTATTATTTATGATTAAATGATTCAATGTTTTGTATATTAATTTTGTGTGACATTTTTGTTATTGTATTCTTTATTCATAAAACCTTTCAAGGACATTCTATTTTATAGTTTGCTTTAACTGAGACTAAAAAATGTAAATTAACCCCTTTTTAACAGTTAAGTATAAGTTATTTTAAATGCCACTTAATTTTGCATATTTGTATATTTTGATTATAGCAGAAGTTCAATTTATTGGGGTTACTATAAATAATATGAAATAGATCTAGAACCATTCTATAAGTTAACAAATATAAAGTAAGAAAATCAATATTTTGTATTATTCATTTCATGTATTGAATTGCATTTTAAGCTTTTACCTACTATATTTGTGTAATGGATTTGCCCTGCTTTGAATTTGGAACAGTCCATATGAAAATTAAGGGATTTCAATATTAAGATACAAAAAAATGAACTACCAAGAGTATAGTGCCAGGTTAGACTGCACATATGTGCATTCTGGGTTGCACCTATACTTGTGGCTAAGGGTAATCAACTTTGGTAACAGCAGGATATGGGTTAAAATTTCATTTTATGCACATAGACGCTCTAACTTCATATTGAAGTTTAATCTATTTAACCAGTAATGATAATTATAATTGTCATTGTTTTGTTTGTTCTGAGAGTGTGTGTCTTTGTTTTCTTTTATTTTTTCAATATTTGTTCAATGAGTACACTATTGCTGTACTTGTAATATACATGTACCGTACATTTTAAATGTGGTGATGTGTGTTTTTCATTTTTTTAAATTTTTTTTAATGATGAGGTTTAATAGTGAAATATATTTTATGATTGTTGCCCTGCAGGTTATACAGTTAATATTGATGATGATGTGTACCTATTTTTTATGACTTACACATTTATTAATTTTATTTTATATTCATTTGTGTTACTGACACAAAGTTTAATGGCCAAAAGAACAAAGTTCAATGTCCAAAAAAAAAAGTTTTATAGCCAGAGAAATCTAACAAAGAAATAAGATGTTTCATACCAATTAAAATGACCATTTTATCATGGCCTGTTATTGTAAAATTAGATTTGCTTTTAAAACAGTTAGTTGTAGAGATTGCTAATACATGTACCATGTAAACAAAGGCTCCGACCTACATGTAGTAAATGCAGTGATTTTTTTTTCAATTTTCAAAACAACCTGTGGCTTTCAAAAGGAGAAAATATAGTGCGCTTAAACAGAAAAAGGGAAAACCTGAAATCAAATTTTTCCAACCCAACTGAAAATGTAATGTTTACCCACACATTTTATTAGTCACCTGTTCACAAAAGTGACAGTCGGTGAGCTTTTGTTGATCGCTTTTTCGTCCGGCGTCCGTTCCGTCGTCCGTCCGGGTCCGGGTCAGTCCGTCCGGGTCCGTAAACTTTTACTGTTTTAAATGACACTCCTCATAAAACCACCTTTTTAAGGCCCCCAATTTCTCCAAACTTCCACAGGAATGTTCCTTTGGTGGTCACCTTTTTAAAAATTGTTTCAAAAGAATTTGAATTCCAGGTGCGAACTCTTGGGTTGCCATGGCAAACCGAAAGAAAAAAACTTTAAAATATTCTTCTTTTAAAAAAACCTGAAGAGCCTTAGGGCTTAATTTTTTTTTTTTATTTGGCCACCAAACATTCTTCTTAGTGAGTTTTACCAAGTTTTGTTCAAATAAAAAGCCCTGGGGTCAAAATTGGACCCGCCCCGGGGGGTCATTGATTTTCCCGTATATGCATTTAGTAAAAAAATTTTTAAAAATGCTTCTTTTAAAGAACCAAAAGGAGTTAAAGCTAAATATTTAGCATGAAAAATGTTCTAGATAAGTGGTCTACCAAGTTTGGGTTCAAATAAAACCCCTTGGGTCAAAATTGGGGCCCGCCCCGGGGGGGTTCATTGATTTTTCCTTAGTATGTTGTATAAGTAAAAAAACTTAAAAAATCGCTTCTTTTTTAAAAAAACATAAGAGCTAGAGCAGTTAGTATTTGGCATGAAAACATCTTTCTAGTGAGTGTTCTTACCAAGGGTTTTTTCAAAAGGAAAAGGGCCCTGGGGTCAAAATTGGGCCCCGCCCCGGGGGGTTTCATTGGATTTTCCCAATATACATAAGTAGAAAAACTTAAAAAATTTCTTTTTAAAGAACCAAAAGAAGGTACAGCTAAATATTTTGGCACGAAAACATTTTTCGTAATGGGTGTCTTCCCCCAAGTTTGTTCAAATAATAGCCCTAGGGTTAAATAGTTGGCCCCCGCCCCGGGGGTCATTGGTTTTCCCTATATGATATTAGTGAAAAACTAAGAAAATTCTTCTTTTAAAGAACCAAAAGAGCTAGAGCTAAAGGATTTTTAGCATGTAAACATGTTCTTAATAAGTGTTACAAGTCTGTTCAAATAAAAGCCTGGGTTCAAAAATTGCCTCGCCCCGGGGGGGGGGGGGTCATTGATTTCCCTATATGCATATTAGTAAAACTTAAGAAATCTTCTTTTTTAAAAACCAAAAAGAGCTAGAGCTCAGATATTAGCATGAAACATTTCTAATTGTGTTCTACAAGTTTGTTTCAATAAGGCCCTGGGGTCAAAAAATTGGCCCCCCCGGGGGTCATTGATTTTCCCTATATGGCATATAGTAAAACTTAAAAAAATCTTCTTTTTAAGAACTCAAAGCAGCTATGCTAAATATTGAGCATCAAAACATGTTGCTAATAGTGGTCTACAAATTTGTTCAAATATAAAAGCCCTGGGGTCAAAATTGGCCCCACACCAGGGGTCATTGAATTTTCCCTATATGATATAGTAAAAACTTAAAAAAATCTTCTTTTAAAGAACCAAAAGAGTTAAAGCTAAGATATTTAGCACGAAACATGTTCTAATAAGTGTCTACCAAGTTTTTCAATAAAGCCCTGGGGGTCAAAATTTGGCCCGCCCCGGGGGATCATTGATTTTCCCTTTATGCATTATAGTTAAAAAACTTAAAAACATCTTCTTAAAAGAACTCAAAGACCTATGGCTAAGATATTTAGCATCAAACATGTTTCTAATAGGTGTCTACCAAGTTTGTTCAAATAAAGCCCTGGGGTCAAAATTGGCACCGCCCCGGGGTCATTTGATTTTTCCTTAGTATGTTTTATAGCAAAAACTTAAAAAAATCTTCTTTGAAAAAACCCCAATAGCTTAGAGTTAAGATACTTAAGCTGAAACATCTTTTAGTGAGTGTCTACAAAGTTTGTGTCAAATAAAAGACCCTGGTGTTCAAAATTGGCCCCGCCCCGGGGGTCATTGATTTTCTTAATATGTATATAGCAAAAACTTAAAAATCTTCTTTGAAAAAAAACCCAGAATAGCTAGAGTTTATATATTAAGCATGAAACATCTTCTAGTAGTGTCTACAAAGTTTCGTTCAAATAAAAGCCCTTGGGTCAAAAACTGGTCCGGCCCCAGGGTGTCATTGTTTATTAACTATATGTGTATAGTAAAAACTTAAAAAATCTTCTCAAAAAGCCCAATGAGTAGAGCTTATTATGTTTAGCATGAAACACTTCTATTGGGTGTCTACCGAGTTTTGCAAATAAAAGCCCTGGTTTAAATGCCCTGCAACGGTTGGGGGTGGGTGTGTGGGGTTGGGGGCCCTATATACAGGTGAGCGACCTCCCAGGGCATCATAGGCCCTCTTGTATAAAATTTTGATTTCAATTTCAATTTAATGCGTGCAAGGTACATAGCAGAGGCTATCTATAGAGACAGAGTTCTGTCTTCTAGCTGATATTAATCAGATGCTGTTAAGTCATAATTTTGGTCAGGAAGAGCACGGGGCATTTTAGGGGAAATATAAGCATTTTTAGGGGACATTTTACCTATTTTCGGCTAGGGGAAACAGCCTTTATTCGGCTGTAAAATACAGTGAAAAAAATTACTGAAATGAGACCTGTTCTATCTGATTAATTGTTATTGTATTAATTTGGATTATTGTACCATATTACCTTGATGAAAACAAAGACCATTTCTCCCATTTCATTTGACTGTCAGTAGAAAGTATTTTTAGCTCGACTATTCGATAAGAATAAGTAGAGCTATTGCAGTCACCCGAGCGTCGGCGTAACCACTTATGTTAAAGTTTTTGTAATAGTTCAAATATTTTCAAAGTCCATTGACATATGGCTTTGAAACTTTGCACACTTGTTCACCATTATGACCCCAACCTGTAGTCAGGAGGAGGTAACTCTATCAAGCATTTTGACAGAATTATGCCCCTTTTTCGACTTAGAATTTACGTTAAAGTTTTTGTAATACCTCAAATATTTTCAAAGTCTATTGACATATGGCTTTGAAACCTAGCACACTTGTTCACCATTATGACCCCAATCTGTAGACAGGAGGAGGTAACTCTATCAAGCATTTTGACAGAATTATGCCCCTTTTTCGACTTAGAATTTACGTTAAAGTTTTTGTAATAGTTCAAATATTTTCAAAGTCCATTGACATATGGCTTTGAAACTTTGCACACTTGTTCACCATCATGACCCAAACCTGTAGACAGGAAGAGGTAAACTCTATTAAGCATTTGACAGAATTATTGCCCCTTTTTCGACTTAGAATTTACGTTTAAAGTTTTTGTAAATATTTCAAATATTTTCAAAGTCCATTGACATATGGCTTTGAGAACTTTGCACACTTGTTCACCATCATGACCCCCAACGGTAAAACAGGAGGAGGTAACTGTATCAGGCATTTTTTTTACTATCAAGCACTAAGAATAGTCGAGCGTTGCTGTCCTACCGACAGCTCTTGTTACATTTCTTAAGACCATTGACAAAAGACTATTTTTGCTATATCCTAATATTGTCTGGAAAGGCTTCTTTTTTCCTATGCTATGTATGACGGTGAAGAAGGACCACTTTCCTTTTGATTGTGAATAAGTTTTATAGTGTAATTTTGTTTTATTTTCTATTACAGTCCATTTTCTGTTTACTGGTGGTTCTGGTTAAGTGTTACAGGTGTTTTTCTCTCATGTGCCATAGCGTAAGTTGTAGCTGACATTTAATTATTTTGAAAAATCCTTCACAACATCAAATATTGAAATACAAGTTATAATATTGAATGGGTAACTTATGAAAGGGTAAAAAACCTGCAAAACATAATGAAAGATATAAACCATGTTTAATGTTCCTTAAAACATGACTGTAACAACACACAGATATACATTTACTGTATTTCCAAAAAAACTACTGATATATTACTGCTCAATAAGAATCCATGTTTTACAGCTCAAAACTGAAGACATAAGTAAAAAAACTTTGTCTTGTTTCTAGAGCAAATTTGCTAATTCAACCATTTTAATTGTTCTTCTTACTCTATATATGGTTTCATTAAGCTGTTATTTTTGTTATATTTTCAGAGTTAAGTTTGTAGGCCTTTTTGTTATATTGCTGGCTGGTTACAGTACTATAGATGACCTCTGGAGGTTGCTAGGCAACCAGAAATTACCTTTGGTATGATTATTTTGTGTCATCCTTGTAATATGTACCTTAAAAATAATGTTTTTAAATGTTATCATTTATTTAGCTAGGTTAAAAAAATAATGACTTAAGTTTGATGTTTTGTCATTATTTATAAGCTGTTTGTATCAAAGTACTTATGTATTGCATTCTCAGAACATTGTCCTACCTTATTGATCAATACTCACATACTTTGTATTCAACATGTCATGATATATGATATAAATACAGGTTTCATCCAGCATTTTAAAATACAAGAGAATCCCTTTTAGGAAGTCCTTCTATACCTTTATTACAGGTCTTGTTTGGTACTTTAGTTAAGAGGGGCTTGTTATCTAAATATACAGACATTTTCATTAACAAATTCAGTTGACAGCCTCTCAAACTTATCCAGATGTCACAGGGGCCATTATAGCTTGCTGGTTAAGATAACCAATGTCATACCACCTGTCTTCTAATATGTTGATCTGGCAAGCGATTCTGAACATATTGTAGATGAGATATTTTTTATATTTTTTTCAAGATTACTTTTATTAAATACATGAATAAATTATTGTGTATTTTCCTTACATTTCAGACTGAGATTTTAAAGCATTTTATAGCAAGAGCATTTTGTCTGATTGTCATACCAGTCATCTGTTATATGATCTACTTTGCAATACATTTTGCTGTCCTTTATAAAAGGTTTGTGACTTTTTGCTGTGCAGTAACTTTACTTCATATGTTCAAAACCAAAATGATAAATTTGTTTTGTTTACAAACAAACAAAACAATATAAAGTGATATTTGGATGACACAATAGAGTGGAGGCCCAGCCTCATGCATACTTCAGCTGAAAGCTGTGCCTAATTTATGGCATTATGTTCTTATAATTAATAGCCTCAACTTCTAGAAGTATTATGATACTGGAAGGTAAGTCTATTATGGAACCTGTCAAATGACAGCATTTGTCTTCAGTCATGGCTTCTTTTTGTCTCAAGTGAAGGCCTGTTCCCCGCATAAATATCTATCCTACTACTAATAATGATGAGTGTTAATTTTCTTTTGCTTCTGGAAACAACGGCTTGCATCTGATTAGGTTTAAACCCATACTGTTAGTGAAATCTTAGGTCACTAGTCTGATGTATTAACCACTCAGCCATGCTGCTAATAATATCTTACATATTTTTAGCTTACAAGGTTACATAATATCTTATTTTGGCTTGCCTTTGGTAAGTTTTATGGCACAAATGATAAGATAATTTACTATGTTATTTTTCAGTGGTTCAGGAGATGGTTTCTACAGCTCACAGTTCCAGTCACAACTTGAAGGGAACCGGCTATACAACATCAGTATGCCCGATAGTAAGTTAATATACATACATGTACATACTTTGTTTACCATTTTCCTATTACCTTATAAGAGCTATTTTCTGTGGACGACCCATATTATTATTACTATTATTTGATTATAGTATAATTATATTTTTGACTTTGTTGTATTATTATCATTTCACATTACATTTGTTTATCATTTTAATCAGTGTCATGTCTTTTTTTAATAGCTAATCTTAAAAAAAAACATATAATAAACACTTAAACTGCTGAATTCCTTAAATTAACTAGTCCACCTAGTCCAGTTCAAACAGGTTAAAGGTTAATACATGTAATAATAATTAAAGCACAATATTACTTATTTCATCAGAAGCATAAAGGATTAGTGTTGTTTTGTACTTATGTAGAAAATATAACAATACTAGAATTGCTGAATCTCCAGACATATACATATTGTAAAATCTTCATAAAAAATGGCTCTTACACATTGTCCAGTCATACAAATGTATCTAAATATAGTATTCTAGTCATTGACTACTTTTGTTCTTTAATGCTTTTCTTTTATTTTCATGTTTGTCTATGTTTATGAATGTAGTTCTATGTAACTCTGTCTTTATTTGTGTTCTCTTTTTTCAGCTTGAAACCTTTTTCTTTTCCATTGCAACATTGTTTTGCTGCAAAACATTTCTTCAACCAAGAATATGTTAATGCTTCTTCCATTTGATTAACATAAGTTTTGTTATAGTGTTGAATTAAAGTTGAATTCATGTTTGGATTTTATTTGCAGACTTTTTATGTTTTACAGGGGTTTCATTATATTATTAAATAAGCTGGGTTATTTCTTAAAATAGGCAGGAATATAAGTAATATATAGTCAGAAATATTTTTGAAAGAACAACACCTGAAGTAGCTGTGTCGCTCATAAAATGTTTTACAGGAATTTACTCAGCTTCTCCTGCATAATGTAACCCCTTTGTTCTCATTGTTCACAGTATATTTCATTAAAAAACATTGTTGAGGATTCCAAAAGAAGTACCTCGAAGGTCTTGAAATATAATTGTACATGTAGTAAGGATATGTTTCCATATGTGAAGTGCCTGTTGTAATGTTTCTGACCAGTGTGACCCTATTTTGTTATGTTTGTTTATATACCAAGATTATTTCTCTGATTTTATTTGTACTTGTCTTGCCTCTATATAACTATGTTATAATCAAATCTTATTACAAGGAGTGGCCTTTGGATCTATAATCTCAGTGAAACATCAATCAACGTTAGGGCAATACCTTCACTCACACCCTGAAATATATCCCCTGGAGTTTGGTTTACAACAACAGGTTCTCATGCATGACTTCTCTTATTTTTTTTATTCATTTTCTCTCTTTATATTAATTTTCTTTTATTATTTAATTCCTGCTTACCGGTATTTCACAGCCATTTTACTTTTATTTTTATCGTTTTCCTTTTTATGTTGGCTTGTTTTCTTATGAAATAAAAATCTTAGGGGTTTTATAGGAATATTTTTATTGTTTTCAGCTTTGAAATTACATTTCTGTTTCTCATTTGAAATGGATTTATACTTAATTACGTACAGTAGCAACCGCCTCCGTGGTCGAGGGGTTTGTGTTGATGACTTCTAATCCAGTTACCTCTCTGACGTGGGTTTGATCCCGGGAGATGCTTTGGTAGTTTAGCGCTGAGGAAAGTAGTCTAATACTGGTTTAACTCTCCAGGAACTATGGTTAGGAAACTACCAGCCTATATGACTGAAATACTGTTGGGAAAAGGCCTAAAATGAAACAAACTGTACAACAACAATATCCAATCTGTAAAAAAACAATGTTTTAACACTGAATATAATCTTTCTGAAAATTCGAGACTTTTCTGTGAATTCAGTGGTACTGTTCAACTAAGATGGTTTGAATCGAAAAATAAATAAAGTTTGCTACTTTATACTCCACCTGCCTAGGTTAATAGGGAGAGCATCGGTTTTTAATCCGGAGGTCACTGGTTCAATACTTGGGCTAGGCAAAGTTTCTTTGTGGTAATTTATCATGGGCACTGAGTTTAATAGTCACTTGTCTCTCAAATCATGAAATTTACAGGATATATACAAAAATTTACAAAATATTACTGAATTTACTGTTTTTATCATCATGCTTCTATTTTTGCATATTATAATTTATTAGGTAATCTATACGTTAAATTTTGTTAATGCCTTAAGCTGACTTTTTTACTGAATTTATTCACTACTCAGTATTTATAATATTTAAAATGCTTTGAAGTTTTCATAAACATTTTGCATGAGTTTTCAGGTGTGGTGTGGTGTTTTAATTTTAAATGCATTGCATAAGTTTAGCTTAAATTTGTAATCATGAAATTTTTCCTTGAGCTTAGGTTAGCAGATTGAAATGCAATTTCAGGTCAGGAGTTTCAAAGAAATCATGTATTTTACTTTTATAAAGCACTTACTTTATTATTAAAGCACTGTTTTTGTTCTATGGCATTTTTGTTTTTTTAGACGTAGCTTATGGGAGCAGAGTTTCATTGAAACATCAGCGTACAGGTGGGACATATCTTCATTCACATGCACATTTATATCCTGAAGACCACCCACCTAGACAACAGCAGGTATATACTAACACCCTAACCTTGCTAAATAGACTTGTCCATCTTTATATCTGGACAAAACCATTCAAAATTTTAGGGACAATTTCAAAATATATACCAAGTGTGAAGCAAACAGTGCAGACCATGATCAGATGGCACTGGTAGCATGTGTAGATTTAATTGCTGCCAGCAGGGTAAAGGTTTATTAGTTCAGAAATATTCAATTTATTTAAGGTGACAACAGACACTTTCCGTGGTACTCACATAAATGTCATTTAAACCAACTTATTTTAGTAATAATTGTTATTTATTTAATCTTTGTGCATTTAATGTCGTTGATCATCATAAAAAATAACATATTTGAAAAAAAATGCCTTTGTAAATGATTGATTTTTAGCTCGACTTTTCTATGAAAAGGGGAGCTATCCTACTCGCCCCGGCGTCGGCGTCGGCGTGGGCGTGGGCGTCGGCGTCACACCTTGGTTAAGTTTTTCGTACCACCCCACTTTATTTCAGAAGTATTACAAGTATGGCTTTGAAACTTACCATACTTGTTCACCATCATAACCTCCATCTACAGACAAGAGTACATAACTCTGTCAAGGTTTTTGACAGAATTATGGCCCTTTTTTGACTTAGTAAGTGTATTGAGCTTGGTTAAGTTTTTTGTACCACCTCACTTTATTTCAAAACCATTGGAGGTATTGCTTTGAAACTGACCATACTTGTTTACCATCACGACCTTCATCAACAGACAAGAGGACATAACTCTGTCAAGGTTTTTGACAGAATTATGCCCCTTTTTGACTTAGAAAATACATTGAATATGGGTAAAATCCACTTATTGCCTTAACCCTTTGAGATATTGCTTTGAAACTTTTAATGCTATTTCACATCATTACCCCCATCTGTACGCAAGAGAAGGTAACTCTGTCAAGGATTTGTTTTAAAAATTAAGGCCTTTTATCGACTTAGAATCTTGGTTAAGTTTTTAGTACCAGTCCACTTTTTGACTGAACTGTTTGAGATATTAATTTGAAAGTTGGAATACTTGTTTACAATCATGATTCCCAAACATGTCCAGGAGAAGGTAATTCTGTCAAAGATTTTATTTGAATTATGGCCCTTAACTGTCAATGTTTTGTATTATAGGCAAGCACTAAAAAACTTAAAAAATCTAAAAAAATTCATTCCTATCCACTTGTTCACTTTACCATAAATTATGTCATAATAAAATAATTCTTCACTAAATATCTTAATGCTCATGGCCATTGTTCACTTTAAAAATACAGAGATTCTTGTATTGCCTTTTACTGCAAAAACTTTTTTTATTGGCAAGCAATAAAAAAGTCGAGCGCGCTGTCTTACGGACAGCTCTTGTTAATAAAAATCCTAAAATTTTAAATCGTCATATCAAAGTCATTTTTTATTTTTTTGTCATCAAACTTTTGGAAAATAAACATACTTATAATATCTGGGGAACCGTGCCTCAAATTTTTTCTATCTTTTCTCAAAAAAATATTACGTAACGTCAAACATTTTATGCGACTTTTTTCACCATACATATTACGTAATTAAAGATAATTAAGTCGCTGATTGAGCAAACAAAAATCCCTGGCACGGTTCCCTCCGTAAATGAATTCCCTTTCATGTGCTTTAAACCGCATGTTAATTGCTTGATTATTAAAAAAGTTATGCCGATTCAAAGTTAGTCCGACCCGCATCAAACTAAGTGTCATAAATCGGCTGTTCTCTCTCGGACCCCTACGTTTCAGGCTAAATAATTACATAATACACAAATATCGCACCAGAGAGGGCCACAAGTTGCGGTAACATACTCTAACAACATTTTATGACCCAGTGACATCTGACCAATTAAAAAGTTGCTGATTAATATCAGTTTATAACAGAAATTTCTTCAAATGTTAACGTGATTTACCGTCAGTCTGGTATCAGTCGCACATGTCACGTGACTTTCGGTAAAAATTGAGGCACTCGGTGGGGGGAAATGGAACGTATTTGCGCACCGCGGGTATTTAATTGTTTCACTTTTGAAGTTTATTATTATTATCATAAGCATTATTGTTATATTATACCAGTGTCACTCTGCCTGTGTATTCGTGTATGAAATTCCTTTAAAATAACAAAAAAAAAAACTGAGCTTCTGACAGTCTTTTAAAGTCCATGGTAGATGTACAAATAAGAACGGGATATTATATATTTTTTCCTCCAAATTGATATAAATGCTTCACATATTTTAATAGAAATAAAAGGTATCACTCGATCATTATGATCTGACCTTCTTGACTTTTATTATCATGAAAATCATCTATGCACGGCATAGAGATCCAGTTTCTACTGGGATATACAATAAATTCCATACTTTGTCCCAGGTTTATTAGTACTGTGTTCGATTTACTAGCAAACAATTTATTCAAAGCATTCACTGATAATATATTTTATTATCTTTTTGTATTGATTCATAGAGAAATAATCATCCTTAGACAACCTAAAATGGTTTAGAAATTTGTCAGGGACACCTTACCACAAGTCATATAGGCGTTCACATAAAAAATGTTGTCTGTTTTTATTGTTGTTTTACTTGACATTGTTAGAAAACGAGGTTGAATGTAAAGCAAGCCCTTGAACCCGTACAAAAGTCGATAAACTCAATGTAATATATATCAGATTAACGGGACAGACAAATTATTTTCACACATTATGGATATGTTAGCAACTATATTTTTAATCAACGCCGTGGTCGTGCGATTTGCCGCTATGCTTAATTATTTATGTTTCATACAATTCATTATGTTACGTACATTGGCCGACAATTTCTTATTCTATAAAAAAGGCTAAATAAAAGGTAGACGATATAATTTTGAGATTTTCGTAAAACATGTACGGTATTTGTACGATACATGAATTACGAGTAGTATGGACCAGTATGGACCGGTAATTCACGCATATATGGAACTACCGATTTCCCTCATTGATGCCTCAACAGGGGGCGGAGCGTTATCGATAATTGACAGGTTACGCGAATAGCAGATAAAAATGGTACAGGTGCCGTTTTAAAACGTTTAAAAACACATGTTTTGGACTAACTGCTTCCAAAATTAAATCACGAATGTGTTCAAAAAAGGTTGATAAATATACTAAGCAAAAAATCTCATTTTAGGTATTTTCAGTGATAATTGACTCCGTTGTCACCTTAAATGCTGGTAATTTATTACTAACACCATGAACAACATAAATGTACATAATTGACCCACAATGATACTGACTTGTTTTGAAATATGATTTAAATTAAAATGAAATCTTATCCGGTATAAAACTTTGGTATTTCCAAAAGAATAAACGCAGGCCTGATGTTTGCTCGATCAGGAAGTGCCTGACAGTCCTTCATTTCTGAGTAATGAAATGTAGCTGTTACAGGTTAATACTAAAAGTTTGAGCAGAATAGTTTCTTAGGACAATGATGATAATTTCTGAAGTATATAACTCGTACAACTGTAATATTTTAAAGTGTTATAATGGGTTGACTGTGTGTAGTCAGTTGTGACTTAAACAAAGGGAGAGTGAAAGTGATATGAACAGATAAGATCAGTTTTGCCATCGTGCCTGTTTGGCTCTAAATTCAGATTTCACTTTGATATGAAAACATTATTTCAAGACGTTAATACAAATTTGAAATTTAGTAACTGTTTTGTCAAATTCTCCTTTTTATGATTGAGAACATGTACTTGATATTTATTTTGATAAAATAGTTAATGTTTATTTATGAAAAAGGTAAGTAAAGCTGTAAATAGTAAAAACTTATATATATATATATATAAATATATGCACTGTATACTTACTTAAGAGAGGAGATTGGTCTAGTGATTATGTACTCAGTCATTCAAGCCAGGGATTATTGGTCTAAGCACTATTAGGGCCAACACCAAGTTCCTAAACCCTCATATGACACAAGTACTGATTTCTTGAAGGAAGTAGACTAGGATCAGGTCCAGATAAGCCTCAAGATTTCATCATTATCCAGATAAAATTAACACATTTAAATTAATTAAATGGAACGGAAAACAAAGTACTGGTAAAACTTCAGAAAAACGTGAGCTTCTATTGCAACCATTGGAACATCATAGTCACATGATTCTTTCAGCAATAGTATTCTTGTTTCTCATGGATGGTCAAAATTAACAGGCTTTCCTGTGTCTTAATAATAAGTTTTTGCATCAACTGAGTTTTTAGCTCACCTGAGCGTGCTCAAGGTGAGCTATTAGGATCGGTGAATGTCCATTGTACGTCCACAATTGCTTGTGACCACACCAGTGGTCACACTTATGACTCAATCATCATCAAACTTTGTCAGGATGCTTGTTTAGTGAATTGCTGGGATGAGTTCGAAACTGGGACATTTCGGATGGAACACTAGGTCAAAGGAGCTAAAAATAGAAAAACCTTGTGAACACTCTAGTGGTCACATTTTTTACCCAATCATCATCAACCTTTGTCAGAATGCTTGTTTAGATTATTGCTTGAATGAGTTCCAACATGGGTCATCTCAGGTGGAAAACAAGGTCACAGGAGCAAAAAATAGAAAAACCTTGCGAACAGTCTAGTGGTCACATTTTTGACCCAATCATCATCAAACTTTGTCAGAATGCTTGTCCAGTCGATGCTTGGATAAGTTTGAACATGATTTATCTCGGATAGAAAACTAGGTCACAGGACCTAAAAATAGAAAAATTTGTGAACACTCTAGTGTCACATTTTTGACTCAATTATAATCAAACTTGGTCAGGATGCTTGTCTAGGTAATTGCTCGACTGTCAAGCTCAAATATGGGTTAACTGCGGTCAAAAACTAGGTCACACTGCTCAATTATGGATAATCCTTGTTAACACTAGTTGTCACATTTTTGACACACCTGTCATGAAACTTGGTCAGAACGCTTGTCTAGGTAACTGTTTGGATGAGTTTGACGGGTCAGGTGAGCCATCTAGGGCCATCTTGGCCCTCTTGTTTGTTGAATTTACTCTAATCAAACTGATGAGATTTTTGTTGTTTCAAAACTCAGTTTGTGGTACCGTGAGAGTGACAAATGGTACCAAAGGATAATTTTCTTTTTGCTGGTAATGATTAAAGTGATGAAATATTTCAAAGATTTTGAATATTTTTGTGCCCCTCTGTTAGTGGCGGGCATTTAGATTTACCCTTGTCCGTCCGTCCGTCTGTCCGTCCGTCCTTCCGTCCGTCCCTTCACTTTTGTGTCGCACGTAACTCAAAAAGTATTTGACCTAGAGTCATGAAACTTTACAGGAATGTTGATAAGCATGTGTAGTTGTGCACCTGGGTATTTTCATGTGGATATTTTTAGTATTTTCAGAGTTATTGCCCTTGACCTAGTTAAATTTTGCAATTTTCAACTTGTGTCGCATGTAACTCAAAAAGTATTTGACCTAGAGTCATGAAACTTTACAGGAATGTTGACCAGCATGTGTAGTTGTGCACCTGGGTATTTTCGTGTGGATATTCTTAGTATTTTCAGCGTTATTGCCCTTGACTTAGTTAAATTTTGCAATTTTCAACTTGTGTCGCATGTAACTCAAAAAGTATTTGACCTAGAGTCATGAAATTCTACAGGAATGTTGATCAGCATGTGTAGTTGTGCACCTGGGTATTTTCATCTGGATATTTTTGTATTTTCAGAGTTATTGCCCTTGATTTAGTAAAATTTTGCAATTTTCAACTTGTGTCGCATGTAACTCAAAAAGTATTTGACCTAGAGTCATGAAACTTTACAGGAATGTTGATCAGCAGGTGTAGTTGTGCACCTGGGTATTTTAGTGTGGATATTCTTAGTATTTTCAGCGTTATTGCCCTTGACTTAGTTAAATTTTGCAATTTTCAACTTGTGTCGCATGTAACTCAAAAAGTATTTGACCTAGAGTCATGAAACTTTACAGGAATGTTGATCAGCATGTGTAGTTGTGCACCTGGGTATTTTCGTCTGGATTTATTGAGTATTTTTAGAGTTATTGCCTTTCACTTAGAAAATTTTTGCAATTTTCAACTTAAGTCGCAAGTTTCTCAAAAAAGATTTGACATAGTTATTAAATCTTATGGGCAGGTTGCTCAGCATATTTTAGATTTGCACCTGGGGTTTCGCTTGTGGATTTATCCAGTATTTGTAGAGTTATTTCCCTTGACATAGTAAAAAGATTGACAGAACAGTGGCGCGGTGGGGGCACCCGTGTCCTATGTACACATTTCTAGTTGATGTTTGTTTTTTATCTCTGGATATTTTATACTTTCAATTTCATCGACATATAGATAATTACATGTATACTACAGAATATATGGAAAAAAAAAAAAAAAAAAAAAAAAAAAAAATTATCCTAAATCTATTATTGAGAAAGCGTTTTCTAAAATTGAAGGCATGTCCCAAAATGATGCTCTAAGTCCTGTCGTTAAAAATACTAGTTCAATAATACCTTTTACTGTATGTTTTAATACATCTCTGCCTAATATTGGTGAAATCTTAAATAAATATTGGGATCTATTACTTTTGTCTGATAAGGTAAGCGTTAAAAATATACATAACAAGTTCAAACCTATTTTAGCATATAGACGTCCTAAAAACATTCGAGATTATCTTATGAGAAGTGCTTTACTTGATCGCACATTTTTATCTAGCCAATGTTTACGAAGTAGATGTTCACATTGTAACAATATAATTGTTGGTTCCCAATTTAATAGCAGCATAACAGGTAGTTCTTTTGATTTACACAATGATGTTAATTGTACTACGCGTAATGTAATTTACCTCATTACATGTAAAGGCTGTAAAAAGCAATACGTAGGTCAGACTAATCAAAATGTATCATGCAGAATGAATAAACATAGATTTGATATAAGAAATTGTGACGTTAATCCAGTTTCACATGTTGCGATCCATTTCGGATCAAACGATAATAAGTGTTCATTGTCAGATTTTTCATTTTTACCTATAGAAATTATAGACAACAACATGGACCGGTTATGTAAAGAATCTTTTTGGATCCATAAATTAAATACTATGATTCCAAATGGACTAAATAATAAAGTATTGTTTGATTTATAATAGGTTACATGAATATTAATATGTTTGTCTATTATCTTATTTTTATTAACACTGTCTAATAGACATCTGTATCACCTTTGATCCATTTTAATTCATGTACCAGCTTTATTGTCCCCAGCCTTTTCGAAGAAAAAAGGGGGATATAGAAATAGGCTCCGTCCGTCTGTCCGTCCGTCCGTCACACTTTCGTGTCAGGTCCATAACTTTGTCATTTATGAAAGGAATTTGAAATAACTTGGCACAAATGTTTATTATAATAAGACGATGTGTCAACCGCAACAACCAAACCCCTACCTCCAGGGTCAAGGTCACACTTGCTCATTCAAGGTCAAAATTGCCTATTTGAGGGTATATGTCGTGTCCGGTCCATAACTTTCTTATCTATGAAGGGATTTTGTAAATACTTGCAATAATTGTTCACAATAATCAGACGATGTGTCATGCGCAAAAACCAGTCACTTACCTTCAAGGTCAAGGTCACACTTGGAGGTCAAATATTAACATAGTCTGTTACAGGGTATATTTCGTGTCCGGTCCATAACTTTCTTATCTATGAAGGGATTTTGTAAATACTTGCCATAATTGTTCACAATTATCAGACGATGTGTCATGCGGAAAAAGCAGTCACCTACCTTCAACGTCAAGGTCACACTTGGAGGTCAAATATTAACATAGTCTGTTACAGGGTATATTTCGTGTCCGGTCCATAACTTTCTTATCTATGAAGGGTTTTTGTAAATACTTGCCATAATAGTTCATAATAATCAGACGATGTGTCATGCGCAAAAACCAGTTGCCTACCTTCAACGTCAAGGTCACACTTGGAGGTCAAATATTAACATAGTCTGTTACAGGGTATATTTCGTGTCCGGTCCATAACTTTGTCATTTATCAAAGGAATCTGAGATAACTTGGCACAAATGTTTGTTATAATAAGACAATGTGTCATGCGCAACAATCAGACCCGTACTTTCAGGGTCAAGGTCGTACTTGTTCATTCAAGGTCAACATTGTCTATTTGAGGGTATATGTCGTGTCCATTCCATAACTTTCTTATCTATGAAGGACTTTTGTAAATACTTGCCATAATTGTTAACAATAATCAGATGATGTGTCATGCGCAAAAACCGGTCACCTACCTCCAAGGTCAAGGTCACACTTGGAGGTCAAATACTTACATAGTCTGTTACAGGGTATATTTTGTGTCAGGTCTATAATTTTTTCATAGATCAAAGGATTGTGAAAATACTTCGCACAAATAGTCACTATAATAAGAGGATGTGTCATGTGCAACACCTGCATCCCTACCTCCAAGGTCAAGGTCACACTTAGAGGTCAAAAATTAACATAGTCTGTTATAGGGTATATTTTGTGTTGAATCTAGAACTTCTTCATAGTTCAAGGGATTTTTGAAATAACTTGGCACAAATAGTCACAATAATAAGACGTTATGTCATGCACAACACCTGCTCCCCTACCTCCAAGGTCAAGTTCACACTTAGAGGTCAAAGCTTAACATGATAGATTTTTAAATTCCGTGTTTCATTTTATTTTTTTAACAAATTTATTGTTACATTTGCAGATCTAGCATTGATCATAATTTTGGACTGAATGTCCTGAGATCCATACCTCAATCTTTTGAAATAGCACAATTTTATGCTTCATATAAAACTCCCGGGGCGGGGGACGTTGGTAACTCTGTTACAAATTCTTGTTTATAGCATAAATATTTGTTTCTACATGTTATCATAGTTTTGCCGCTAAACGCCATAACGTTTTTCGTGCGTTTAACGCGTGTTCCGTTATGACGTCGCTTCCGGTAATTTTATTATGTTTTGCACTGATGAAGGCATATAGCCGAAACGTTTGCAATTAAATTAAATTACTAAATGTTCGTGTTTGTGTGGCTTGTCTGATTACAGAATATATGACAAATTAAGTTGAAAACACACTTGAAGACTTCTTTGCAAAATGCAGGTAGGACTCCTATAATAATAGTTCATGATACAAGAAGTTCCTGAATTTGTTATTTGGCTATTTGTTTACAAAGTTGTTATATATTTCAGGTGACTGGCTACAGCCACAAGGATGAGAACAACATGTTCCGTATAAAACCATCACATTATGAAACTGCTCAGGATAATTCATACCCCATATTTGTTAAAAATGGAGATCTTGTTAGACTTGAACATGTGCCGTAAGATTTTGTTTTAAGATAACAAAATAATAAAATGTAATTGTTTGTATTTATGTTTATTTGTATACTGTCAGTGTCATACTATGTTGTTGCCATGCAGTAATTTTCAAATACTTCCTCTGAAAAATAATACCATGGACCAGTGACTCAGTGAGAGACCACATTTTTCTACTCGGGGTCAGGGACTGCTACATTCTACTTAGGTCAGTGACCTCTATAGGGGGTGTTAGTAATGGTTTGTACAAATGTACAAGGAAGATTGAATTTTGTAAATTTATTTTTTATCAAACAAAATGAAAACTCAGTTACTCAGTATTCTATGTATGTCACACTTGTTATTCCTGTCCATTTCGTATTTACAGAACCAGACGTAATCTACACAGTCATAGGGAACCAGCACCCCTGACATCAAGACATTTCCAGGTGTCTGGTTATGGACATGTAAGTATTAGAATTAAGACATAATCTGACATTACCATAATGAGGTTATATTGAATATCATAAGACCACCCTTTGAAAAAGCAGCAGGTACTATGTGCAGGCAAATGAATCAGATCTTAAGGTCCAAGGTCAACATCACACTTTTTAGAGGAAAATGCCACTCTAGAATAAAGTTACATACATTGAGATAATTTTACTTGGTATAAATGTTCACTAATGTAAAACAAAGTGTTGTGTGCAAAATGCAAATACATTTCAGTGAGTCATGTGTAGAGGTCAAAGGTCAGAAAAAAGTTTGAAAATGTAAATATGGCCCATTTAGTCATCGTGACATTAGGGATTCTATCACAAAAGTTCATTATAGTGATGCTTAGTGTTTCACACATAAGCCAGGTCCATATATGAAGGTCAACGTCATGAGAGATGATGGATTGTCCAGATTTTGTATGGAACATCTTCTACATTTTTTTTCTCACTTTTCAAGGCCATTTTCCCCTTTCTTAAAGGGAAAGACAAGGTTAGAATAAAAACTTGATTTCAGAAAAAGAATACTATAAATAATAAGTCTGCAAATTTTCTGCCGCCAAATAATAATATTAAACGAATGATAACAAAATTTAAATCGCTAAATCACCGATTTCTACAAATCATTAAGCGCGGCCATGTTTGTGTATTGGCCGTATAAAAACAGGTGCGTGTGATGTCATTTCCCCACATCTTTAGATTCATGATAAATCTAGTTGAATCGTAAGGAAATATTAATATAATAAAGTATTGACCAGACAATTTAATTTTCACAGGAGGTGTAGAGGAGATTTTTTATGGTTCAAAATACGTAACAATATCAAAAAAAAAAAATAAAAAAAAAATAAAGAAACGTACGGCTAGCCAAAAGTTCTAGCCGTACGTGAGTCTCGAACGACTAGCCAGGACGCACTGTACGTACTGTCTAGCCGTACGGCACTTTTCAAAATTATATGGAAGTCGAACGTTATAAAATTGTTGATTTTCATGCTTATCATTTGTTGTTTTATTTGTATGAATTATTAAATCATTTTTGTTAATTTTAAGCACATGGATCGAATAAAAAATGATCGGAGTGGAATAAATAAATAAAAAGAACATTGAATGAAAAAAAAACGGTGAAATGCAAAAATAATTATATAATTTTCAAAATAGTAGATAAATATCGAACATAAAAGCACAGTCAATCAATTAATTAGCCTTAATTAAAATCTATCCAGTGACTGACAATAGAATTTTAGTATGCCTTTCACGGAACATGCAAACTTTCCTTGATGGACAAACTTCTATACATTACCGTCGGTAATTGTCGCAATTATCATGAGCCTAACAACAATCATTTTCAGTGTTTGTTGTTGTTTTTTTTTCATATAAAAGGTGTCTAAAATTAAACTTAATGAAACAAAAAAGGATTATTATCAAAATTTTGTAAACTGTTTCAATTGGTGTAAATGCAAGCAAAGGCTATTTTTTCTCGACATCTTGCGATGACAAAGATCGATATATATAGCGATCAAGGCGATTAATCTCTAAAAAGTTAACATCCAAAGACAATTAATGCTGTTTCTTGGTTAAAATCCTCGCTTAAAGTCATAAAATAACATATGCATTTCCGACTTCCATAAAATTTTGAAAAGTGCCGTACGGCTGGCCAATACAGCGTGTCCTCGCTAGTCGTACGTGACTCACGTACGGCTAAAACTTTTGGCTAGCCGAACGGGCCCGTACGCTAGCCACTTCCATTATAAAAACCCTACTAAAACGTGTTCTTAATAGTACATATAATTAAATTTTTGAGTTTGATTCTGACTTTCAAATTTAAAGGTGTGAACATATGTTATAATTGATGTACACATTTCAAAAATATAAGCAACTCTTTTGAAAAGTAAATTGTTAACATGTCTGTCAACGTATGATGCTGCGCATCGTAATCGTAGCCTAATATTACTGTAGGCAAATCATTTTTTTTGGCTGCTCAAAAATCTAATTTGCATAATTTATTCACACAATTGCTGGTTCTTACTACTTATGTCTAATACTGCGCATTGTCCATTTTAATTGTTCCTAATTTGCACCAAATGCTCCTGTCACACTGTGTACTGACGATTTTTATTGCTCCTTGTATGCCTCTGTGCCGACAGACCTTTTGATCATTGCCCTGATTGGTTAATCACCCTTGTCAAATATTCTAATGACGAAATAGACATCTATTTTTTTACGCTTCATCAGTGAACTGAATGACCTTAGGGGGAATTAGGTTCCACACCTGTCAAATTATACTGTAGTAAATTACAGCACGTCATAAAATAGCAACACATTTTTTTCAGTTACCAATAATCATTTTAAATATTAAGTAGATTTATGATTTTTTGTTTTATTGGATTAAATTTACGGTAGTAGAAATGCGTATCTGTCGGGGAAAGGAATTTGGTAAGTAGATAACGTGGAAAAAGCTTTAGGGAACTGGATAAACCCGAGAATATGCGTAATTATAGGGGAATGGGCAACCTGTTGCTGTTGGTACCAGTTTTGACTGGGTGCCTAAATAACCTAACGGACATTTTCATACGATATTAGTCTGGCTGCCGATTTTCCTGCGCCTTTCTCATTTTTAGCGTCAATGTCGGAAAATCGCGTCCTCAGCATATTGGATTTAGTTGATATTTTACCTGAAAAAAAGATACATGACCGGCGATGTACCCTATTTGGACAGCTTGTCTAGCGAAAATTAAGTACAAAATATAGGATATATCGTCAATTTGAAGAAGTTTCTCATAGTACTAGTACCCAAATTAAATTTATGGTTTATCTTTAAAAATTAAGCAGTCATTGCTTAAATCATGTGGTGGGATCATCAGCAAGCTTGAATATCGGACAAATGATAATTAATGTCGCGGCGTCTTCAATTAATTAATTAAAGCAATTCAGTTCCATATGATGTTTTCATAAATAATATATAATGTACGCAATAAAATTAATAAGTTCTTCATCAAGATATATTTCAGTTGTACCAGCGTGTACACCTATACCGGAAGTGGGTATAACACGTCACAATCTCGGTCTCGTCTGTCTCGCGAGAATGACAGAACGCCAAAATGGCAGCGCCCATGAACTTATTTATCAAGTAAAAAATAGTATCTTAAAACACGAATTTCTCTCTTATAGGGTTGATGTCAATAGGAAAACTGTCATGGTTCCTCTTTTTAAATGATGAATATTTATATTAGACAGACATCAATCCATCCATTCCTATTCCTTTAAACTTGTTTATGTACTCATTAAGTTTTTGATTTATTTAAAATGCTCATTTCACTATTTTGCAAATTTAAAAATAATGAAACTTTCCCTTTTTCTTTTAAAATCATGTTTTTCCATTTTTCCCAAAAATTTTAAAACCAAAAACTTTTTTGATGGCCCTAAAGTTGTCAACACCTTATTTTGTTTAAATTACTATGTATGTTTACATTATATATATGTTAACATAACTATATATGTTTACATTACCATGTATGTTTGCATAACTATATATGTTTACATTACTATTTATGTTTGCATTATTATATATATATATATATATATGTATACATTACTATATATGTTTGCATTCCTATATATGTTTACATTACTATATATGTTTGCAATACTATACTGTGAAATCATCATTATTCATGGGGCACGAATTTTTGTGGTTTTCATGGGTAGGTCAATCCGCAAATTTAAGATACGATGAAATTTTATCCCAACAAATACTTCTTGCCATGTTTTTTATTCTGTATATTACAAACATGCATCGCCGATTTTTGTGTAATGAATGCCCAGAGGCAAGGGTTAAATTTATTGACAAGCGCTGTGTGATATGTACATGTGGCAAGTAAAATGCGCGGCGATTAAGTGTAAGATTACTTTGCATAAGGTTTTTTATTTTATTTTTTTACCAGAAATTGAAAATCCACGAATTTAAGAACCCACAAAATGCCCGTTTTGATAAAACCATGAAATTTCATGGCCACGAATATAAGTGAATTCGCAGTATATGTTTACATTACTATATATAAGTTTACATTACTTTATATGTTTACATTACTATATATGTTTACATTACTATATATGTTTACAATACTTTTTATGTTTACATTACTATGTATGTTTACATTACTATTTATGCTTGCATTACTTTATAGGTTTGCATTACTTTATATGCTTGCATTACTATACATGTATATGTTTACATTACTATATATGTTTGCATTACTATATATGTTTACATTACTATATATGTTTACATTACTATATATGTTTACATTACTGTTTATGTTTGCATTAGTTTATATGTTTACATTACTATCAGAGCTGCATTACTGGTACTGGTACTGGTACTGCAGTACGTACTGCAGCGATTTTGCAAGTACTGGTACTGATACTGAATTACTCTTACAAAATTTTGCTACTACTGGTACTGGTACTGCATTACTGTCTTAAAAAGTGGTACTGCTACTGCATTACCCAGTACTTTTGGTTTTGATAAAAATTAACAATAGCATCAATTTTTCTCATAAAGTAAAGCTGTAAATTACATTAACTATATTTTATTTTTGTGAAAAAGTAAGTTATCAAATCTAAAGATAATTTGCTGCAATATTCCTTCAAATGTTAACAAAGTATTCATCATAAAAAGCACCAAAGACTTTAAGTAAGAAATAAATTAAGATAAAAAGACTCAATAAGTCTTTACCCTAAAATATCCCTATTAAATTCTTTTATTACGTTGTATTTACTAGTAAAAGAGCAAAATAAACACTAATTAATTTCTTCTATTCTAAATAATCCCATTTCAGTGAAAAATGTGATATTGTTAGCACCATAAAAAGTTGTTAAACTCATTAAACTAAGTACAATGAAGGAAAATAGACTCAACTGAATAAACTAGAAATGTGCTATACAAAATGTGCTATTTTTAATCATTAATTGATGAAAAT